ATATATATATAATATATATATATATATATATATATATATATATATATATATATATATATATATATATATATATATATATATATATATATATATATATATATATATATATATATATATATATATATAATATATATATATATATATATATATATATATATATATATATATATATATATATATATATATATATATATATATATATATGTCACTGTGGGTCGTGATCTGGGTATATGCTGATAATGTTGATGATGTATTATGTCTCTGGCCATGTAATGAGGACCTAAAAGCTTTCCTACCACAACTTAACAACTTAGCCCCCTCGATCAAATTCACGGTGGAATTAGAGCAAGACTGTAAATTGCCATTCCTAGACTGTCTGATACACAGAATAGGTAACACTTTTAAGTTCAGTATTTATAGAAAACCAACTAATGTGTGTTCATACATTCATTATTATTCTGCCCACCATAATAAAGTCAAACAGTCAGTATTTTCAACAATGTTTTTACGTGCCTTGAGAATTTGCAGTCCGAAATTCATCGATGAGGAATACAAATATATATATAATATTGGCTCAAACCTTAAATACCCTAGATCTTTCATAGACAAATGCTTAAACATTACTAAGAAAACTTTTTATAGAACTGACCCCAAGCCCACCCATGACCATAAGAATATCTTAATATTACCATTTCACAAAAATTTCTCACACATTCCTGCACAGCTAAAAACCTGGAACGTCAATGTGGCATTTAAAAACTCATGCACTGTTAAACAAATGTTAATCAAGAACTCCCCCAACAACAGAATTGGTTGCATTTATAAAGTTCCTTGCAAGGAATGTAATATGTTTCACTTAGGCCAGACAGGTAAAGATCTTGCAACTAGAATTAAACAACACAAATACAGTGTTAGGACAGGCCAGGAATCCAATGCTCTGTTTGTTCATTTGAGGGATAACAAGCATTGCATTGACTGGGATAATGCCTCCTCAATATTACCATGTAAGTCAATTGACAGTAGGAACATCATAGAATCTCGTCTTATTAAACATACCGAAGCATTCAACATGAATTTGAGTAACGGCATGTACAAGCTGGACAATTTTGTAATTAAGAAGATTTGTGATCAGGTGAGAAGGCCGGGTCACTTGACCATCTGACCTGACCACCAACCCTTGTGTGCTATTTAAAGATTAGTAGGGTCATTACCTAATACCTGACCATTGTGGACCTGGTCTCACCCTCCTCTGTATATATACACCTTGATTTGTATTACTCTCTCTAGTCTGTACTCACCCCTGAAGATGTGAATTACACGAAAGCGCTTGGGAACTTCGTGTTTTCTTCTTTCCTTGTGGTTATCAGCACACACATATATATATATATATATATATATATATATATATATATATATATATATATATATATATATATATATATATATATATATATATATATATATATATATGTATGTATGTTCGCAGATGATATATACTTACGGCCATATTATTAAACAACATCTTCCCTTGAAGAATATCTTCATGTCGAAAGCCGTATTTTTAAATGCGAAGAACCTTTTAGTGCAGCGCACGAAAGAGTGTGGTGGCATGAAAACGAACTAATTGCACCTAACTTTGAAGAGGTGGCTATGAGCTGCTTTTCCTCACCCTCTTCATAATTATTTTGTTAGTTTTATTGAATATTTATTGTCAATACGATTAACGTACAAAGAAACACGTATAGGCAATTTTACAAATGTATTTTTTTTTACATGATTGGTTTTAAGGTCCATATTATGACAGTGCAAAAGCTGTGTCCCGTCATATTACGCCTTTCGTAAAAGCTGTGCTGCCTGTCAATTTGTTATTGCCAAAGGCAAGCTGCTAGAGTCATCCCATCTTACTAACGCTAGTATTAATCTGGTAAGCACATTTACGGTAATTTATTAAACTTTTTAGCAGTTTTATAAGTGAGTTTCTGTCAGGAAAATATAAACTAGTGACGTTCTTGCCTATAAATATTAATATGGATAGAGGCAAATTTTACTGGGAGAAAATCATCTCAAAACTTTATGTTGCATATATTAATAAATTAGTCCATTTAAGTTATTTAATGCAACTTTTTAGCAGTTTTATAAGTGAGTTTCTATCTGGAAAATATAAACAGGAGAGGCTTATGCCTAGAAATATCAAAATGGGTAGAGGCAAATTTCACTGGGAGGTCATTATCACAAGGATGGTAATATTACATACACAAACACCTTTGATACAGTGGATCATGATATAATATGTGAAATACTGCAGGCTCTAATTTTTCATCACCAATCACAGTATTTCGTTTTGGTAAACTTCCATTTGGCTGAATTAGGAGCATAATAGAACAAGTTCACTGGAAGCTGGAGTTTGAGTATTTAATGAAAATGTGCCTTAAGCATATATGATACAATATTTTGGCTAATATATAGGACTTCACAGTAGCTTCCCCCGTCTCAGTAATAGTAAGTTCGCCCACGCCAAATTAGAAGTCTCTAATTCTATATAATCTAAACTACTAAGCTGGCTAATATATATATATATATATATATATATATATATATATATATATATATATATATATATATATATATATATATATATATATATATATATATATATATATATACATTCTCATTTTTAGTCCATATAACACGACTTGAACATATAATCAACTTAACTCAGCAAGGAATCAAACCTCGACTGGGTGTGACTAGGAATGCTACTGCTGAACCACAAGTTCAAAGTCCCGTGGTTATATGGACCAAAATGAAGTATATATATGTACCTCCGCTTCATACCAGCTGGATTCGTAAATGCTGCTGACACCACATAAGAGGCACGGGACAGCCTCATTGAGGTTCACGGCCCATCAGCTCTGAACAGGCTATTGTGTGAATATAACAGAGTCTAGAACTGCTTAGTGTCCTTGTGGCCAGCCGGTGCCGCTCCCTAGTCACACCCAGTAGGTCGAGGGTTCAATTCTTGCTGGTGAGGTCATGATTATATGTTCAAAGTCCGTTATATGGACTAAAAAATGAAGTATATATATACCCTGCTTTCATACCAGCTGGATTCGTAAAATGCTACTGACACCACATAAGAGGCATGGGCAGTTTCCATTGAGGTTCACGGCGCCATCAGCTCTGAACAGGCTTTGTGTGAAATATAACAGAGTCTAGAACTGCTTTTAGTGTCCTTGTGGCCTAGCGTAAGCGTTCCTAGTCACACCCAGTAGGTCGAGGGTTCGATTCCTTGCTGTGAGGTCGTTGATTATATATATATATATATATATATATATATATATATATATATATATATATATATATATATATATATATATATATATATATATATATAAGCATATAGTTTTTTTTACTTACTTTATTTTAATGCGTTCCCAAATCTTCTTCAACTGTTCTGATCGCCGAGGTTCGTATCCCTCAGCATGTAAACATGCTGCAATTCGTAACCATGCTTGTTTCTTAAATGTAACAAGCTTCCCACAAGTACTTTTATTTTGCAAAATTTTCTCCTCCCCACTCAAATAAACAAAGAAATCCCGGGAGACTTTGGAGGAAAAAATATCCATGACGAGAGCTGCTACAATACTAAATTTGGTGCCAACGAAGGTAAACAAACACACACAGGACCCATAATGCATCAGCGAAAAGACGACCGTAATGCATCAGCGAAGAGGACAGTATTACCTGACCTAAAAATATCATCCCGCGCGAAGTGGAAGAGGTTCGAGCATTTAAAAATACCGCTTGAAGGAACAATACCTTCGAAAAGATTCTTCGTCAGAAGGGGTAGATGTTGTTTAATAATATGGCGTTAGTCTACTGTTATCCCCTCCTCCCTCCTTCCCTTTGGTTCTGCTGCCTGACCACAAACCAGCCTCCCTTCCTCAACCACAGGTCTCCCCTCCTCCTCTTTCAGTATGTTCTCAAGCAGATGTAAACAAAACTAAATGTAAGTGTGTGGCCAGACATATGGGCACACACTTGAACACTACATCCTCGACTGTGTGAAGATAGAACCTTTAGGGACAGGTCCAAGCACACTGTGTGTGAAATGGCACAACACTTCATCTCTAATGGCAAGATAGCCGACATATTAAGATTGTATCCACTTTTTTGCACTTAGTAACTATATCAGTTCTCATGTACAGAACCAAATACGCAATGTGCTTGAATACTTCTCACGTAAATGTGAATAACAAAGTGTGAGGCCAGACATACTGCCTCACACGCCTGTACTCACGCAGTTGTGAATAAGTTACCCTTTATGTATAGAACTAAACAAATAATGTAATTGAAATACTGTGTAACATTCAGTGCCATAATATCCTGACAACGGGGGTTAATTATTATGACCGTTGTAAATCCTCTACTCTTAATCCTTACGCGCTGCCCAGGATGAGTGTGGTGCACAATAAAGTAGCCCTTGTAAGCGTAAAATAAAATTAATCCTCTTTCACTCCCTCCTTCACTTATTGAGCAGAAAGAGTAAGAATAGAGAATGAGACAATAAAGAAAGAATAAAAGTAAATAAAAAATAAATAAAAAATAAGAACTAAAATGAAGGAAATAAATGCATTTATTACAGCCAAAATATCTACCAAATGAAGCATTTGCAATAAGAAATGATTATCATATCAGTTCTCACTGATGAAAAATATATAAGAAAATAAACACCAAAATAAATAACTTTGGGAGTCAGTCGTCAATATTAACCATTTTTTATATGTGTACGTGAAACTTGAGCAGTAAAAGAGTTAAAAACCTTAGTTGTTGAATGCAGTATAATAATATAATAACAACAGAGAAACAAACAAACAAACATGGGTCATGACAGTACACAAGAGGAAAAACTATTTACCTTGGATTCTTAAAAGTTTCTGTCTATTGTATTGGATGTGAAATTTTGTTTATGGATAAAAAAGAAATCTTTATTATTGCAGGTGACAATGGTGTGGGTGACAAGGATGGGCAGTCTGCTGATGGCCGTGTTGTGGATAGCCAATATTGTGCTGGACATTATGGCCATAATAGACTTGATATATAAAACTGTCGGCGATGGTATTTTCCTCGCTATATGTTTTATATTTCTCCATGTCATCATCAACGCTTGGCTTGTTAGAGTGTAAGTACTACTTTAGCAGCTTTTATTGTACTGTACATTAAATATAACTCATTTTGACAAATGGTTACCAGTACTGTATATGGTAGCAAAGTAACACAGACTCGAGAAAACTTTATTTATAACGTTTTGTTCTTCGATAAAATCCTTTGTGATGAAATTTTAGGAATAAAGTTATCCCTCAGAGAGTCTTTCTTTCCTTTGCTGCCTTATAACCATAATGAACTGTACTCTCTGTAAACTTTCATGATCACGTATATATCTGTTGCTCTACAGTATACTGTACACAAACTGCTCAGTTCTTTGGAAGCTTAGTAGGGGCAGTCCCCAGGTTGCAAACGCCTGAGTTACAAACGCTCAACTTACGAACACCCGCACTTATGAATGAAATCCCAATACAGTATACAGTATGTATTACTAAAATCTGTATAACTAAAATACCACCTTTTTACATTAAAAGTATCCCTTATTTAATGATTGGGATGTGTTCCTGAAAACAGATTGTTAAGCTATAAGAAGAATTATATCCATGGAGATGGCACGTAATTGTGTTATCGAGTTGCCAACTCGCCACCCAGTAGCATTCAGAGTGAGTGAGGCTGAACTGTGAGCTATGTTGTTATTCAACTCATAATTTCTGGTATACTGTATGTACTTAATTTTCTTCATTTTATTTTACTCTGTTACATGCACACACAAATGTTCATACAGACTGTAAAAAAATATAGAAAAAAGTAATTATCATAAGAACAAAAACATAAAGGGAATAAACATGTTTTACATGCAAATTAGTTAGCACACACAGCTAGGGAGGGTGGAGCAGTGTGGGAAGCTCCCGGCTTTTTGCTGTCTTGTGCCCTGTGTGGAGTGAAATGATTAGTAAATGGCAAAAATGAGGAAAAATATGTAGAATATCCCATATTAATAAACTACAATACACTACAGTAAAGTACTGATGGCTGAGGTGGAAGGTACTTGATGCTAGAGTGATAACTGTGGCATCGTTGGCTCTTGCTTTGGCTTGAAAAACTGTTGACTGTGCATGGCCAAGTACTTTTTCAATAAATGTGAGGAATAACTAAAAATAATAATAATACAGTTGTACCCCGCTTTACGCAGTTTCACTTAACGCGATTTCTCATATACGCGGTGCCTCGCCAGGACCGAACTTTCACTTAACGCGGTTCATCTACCCATATACGCGCAGAGTGTCCGGCTCGAGACGCTATTTTTAGATTCGCCCCACCCGCCACCCGCTCCCGCCTGCCTCGCCTCTCCCTCCTCCTCCTCCCTCCCTCCCCTCCGCCTCCATCCCCATATGCCGACCCATCTCTTCTACTAACGTAAGTGTTACACCTAACTTTTATTTTTCCTAACCTAACCTCTTCTATATTACTTGTTTGTTCATACCATCATAAAGTTAAGATAAAATTTTTACTACAACATAGTTGTGTGTCGTCAAAAAGTGGAGTTTGGGGGTCGGGCCAGTCTCTATTGGAATTAATCCCATATGTTCTGTTGTTCACTTAACGCGGTTTTCACTTAACGCGGTATCCTGTGGGTTCAATTGGCCGCGTAAAGCGGGGTACAACTGTAATTACAAATAATAATAATAATTAATAAAATAATAAACAAAAAATCCTGCAGTGGTTTTGCCAAATCATGACATGAGATAAAGAACACGTGAGAGGTCCCCCACGCTGCACCTCCCTCCCATGTTCAGTGGGCTAACTGCCAAGCACATAAATGTTCATTACCTTTGTTTTTGACCTAACGACAATTATCAATTCTTGTTGCACATTCTGTATGAACAATTATGTGTGCATGCAACAGAGTAAAAGAAAATTATGTACGTAATATACAGTACATTACACCCAAAATTACGAGTTGAACAATAACATAGCTCACAGGTCAGCTTCACCAGCTCTGAGTTCTACTGGGTGGCAAGTCCAAGACTGAGCATCCCAATTGCTAAATGAGGGATACTTATACTGTACTACAAATTAAAATGAGTAAATAAAAATAAAAATTCAGTGTACTTCTGAACTGTATTACCTCCACAGAATATAATAACCAACTCATAATACAACATGATTTTGACCCTATGAAGGAAGACATAATATCAATTTACTTGGATTTCATGTCATCATTACTGTGCTAAGTTTTTAGGGCCTATTTCTGAGTGTCCAGTACTGCATCCCCTCTGCCACAGCTCCCTAGTGGGCCCAGGATGTTGAACAGGATTTTTTACTCATTTTCACTGCACTGTTATTACAGTAAAGTACGTACTGTACTACAGTACGATACAGTATAAGGAAAGAAAAAGCTTATTTTTAGGTTGTCTTTTTTTCAGATTGTTCCATGGATTTAACAAATTGGGATTATTCTTCCTCTTCTTGACATCACAATCAACTCTCTTCTTGTAAGTACTGTGCTGTACTGTATGGTGACTGTGTTGTGTGAACCTAACCAGCGGGGTCAGGGGAGACAAGGAAGCTATAATTATGCAACTGGAAAGAACTGTAAAAAAGTATGAATAGATTTTGCTTAACCATAATGCAGTTATTTTGATTAATGACCTAAATAAAAAATAAATGAAAATGTATCTTTACAGCTGTTTCTATTAACCTAAAATAGCCCCAGAGTCCTTAGTTAGTGAATCTTCTAAGCACTCGGATTCTGGGCTACACATGTGGCACTTGTGGTAGTTGGGTTACATAATGCAATATAGACAGCCGGCAACACCTTAATTTCTCTTAATACATGCAGGTGCTTCAGATTTAAAGGCTCATGTTTTTAATTATAAAAACTGCAAATGTTCTTTTCAATACATTTAAGCTGTTGAATTGAAAAAGCTATAAATGTGTTCACCTAATTTTATAGCTGGTGAAATGAAGGTGGTGTGGTGCAGTGCCAGCCATAATGCCTCCTTAAAGGCTTAGTATTAGTATGTTGTACTGTACAGTATTCATAGTGCCTTTAAGAGAGTCACTTTATTAAAGTAATACAAGGTACAGTATATCATTTGTCTTTTGTATAATGTTTCTTATTTACATGTACAGTGGGGTATGCTATAATGAACGGATTCTACTACGAATGTTCCTATAACGAACGGTTTTACCTATAAAATTGAGAATGCTATAACGAACGCAACTCCTACAACAAACGCGGATGAATTCAGGACTATTTCGTCTGGCGCATGAATATTGTTGTACCGCGGCTCACATAAAGAGCGTCAGGCACCATATTGGTTCATTGTGTAGTCAGTGCACCACTGAACTTGTTGAAATTTCGTCTTTTGAGGTGGAAATTCGTGTTATTTTTATAACTATTTTGTTATACAAGTGTACAATTGTAACAATGAATCGTCAAAAGCGAGTGAGAAAGCTAATAACCCTTGAAACTAAGAAAGAAATTATAAATAAACAGACAAAGTGCCTGTAAGACAGTCACCAAAGAGGGCGAGGAAGGATGACTCCTCTCCTTCCACCTCTTTTCCATAATTCTCTCCTCCCCGCTCCTCCTCTCCCTCCTGTCCTGCATACTAACAACACTAAGGTAAGATAAAGTACCGTATTTTTTACAATTTCCACAGAAATTTTTCAGTGTTAAGTGGTTGTATTTGGGGGCCTGGAACGGATTAATCCTATAACGAACTAATGCTATAACGAACGAGGTTCTAGAACCAGTTAGATTCGTTATAGCATGCCCCACTGTATTGACCTTACTGTAGTTATTTGTTTTCTTTGAGAGTAATGTGTAGTTTGTAAATGCTCCACTGTGTCTCTTACAGGTACTTTAATAGGCAATGTTCAGTGGATTTGGCATCTTGTGTACCGCCAGCAAGGCTGTGGGCTCGTAACACTCGTCTTGCCTGCAGTGCCCACCGTTTCTCTGTGGATGTCGGTCACACTAGAATAACTCGTTATAGTACATCCTTCTTTCCTCACACAGCCAAACTGTGGAATGCTCTGCCTTCTTCTGTGTTTCCATACTCATACAATCCGTCTCGCTTCAAAAAGCTGGCTTTCTGGCATCTCTGTGGTTTAGATTAATTTAATCTTTTTTTTTCATATTTTTAATTTCTTTTTACTCTTATTTTTTGCCCCCTATGCCCCGTTGTGGATTGATGACCTGTACCCGGGTGGGCTATTCCCCATAAAAAAAGTTATTGGGTGTTTATGTTGTTTTCATATACAGTACCTGTACAGTGACAACTTTGGAGAATAAATAATGGGCATTGTGTATTGGTGTGAACTTGTATGACAGTTTTACTGAATATCTCTTCTTTTTTTTTATCCACCTGTTTCCTGATTATGTGACACATTGCAGGTTGAGTCGTGGGGCATGGCATGGCCTACGGGCCTGCTGTGTACAGAGCCAGCGGGAGAAGACACGTCGGACTCTCAGGGCAAAGTTTGCACTCGTCTGTGAAATGAGGAACTCCTTTGAAAAGCTTTCAGTTGAAGGATCTGAATACAGCTTGAGGAGCTGTGTTCTCTCCCAGTCTGAGGCGGTACCAGCTGACACATCAGGAGCTCCTGTCGTCCTTCAGCCATCCAATATCATCTGTACTGTTGAACAGGGCACTGATGTCTCAGTCAAAATGGAGAAGACAAAGTTCATTCCTAACACCAAAAAGATTGTTCTTAATCTAGATGCTCCTCCCGATATATATGGTGGGGAGCCAAGCGTATACAAATATGTAATACGAAAGTTACAGGCACTGTTTTCAGATAAAATGAATCTATCATATCACATTGTGACAGATTCGACCAACACAAAGATCCTTCATGCCTCTTGTACAGATAAACGCATTGGCACTTTGCCTGATCGTATCATCAGTGAAAATCCACATGTCATCTGCAATGATACCCACTATGTTTTAAACCTATCTAGGATCAATGGTTATGAAGTTTATAATATTACAAAACGGTCTTTTGTAGATATCACCAGCTTCGTCAACAGAGACCTGACCAAGTTGATTTGGCTTCCAATATGGCCCGTGGCTGCAGTGAAGATCTTTATTACATTGAGTTTCCGGGCACATATGAAGGGTAAAGTAAGAAAATAATTTTATGTACTTTTGGGGGGGGGGGGCGTGTTTGTAAGTTAAAAGTCTCGATATATGACTCCCATCTTGTTATTAAATTTAAATTTGTCTTGAGATAATGCATAAAACTTCTGAGGAAACTATTATTGGCTGTAGTCAAAATGAAGGATCTATGTTCATGTCTTAGTAATGGCTTGTGAAGAATATAGAAGTGTCTCATAAGCATGTAAATTACATCACTAGATGGTGCTTGTTTGGCAATCCAATTAGGGTGATTGAGCAATGGCAGTGTTGATACTTTGAGTTAACAGGATTGATGCAGCTTGAACAAACCAAATGCATAGACAGTTGGTACACTATTGATTTATTGAGAAAGAAACTGTTAATTCTTCCAAATGATTTGAACCTCCTTGGCATAGTTGTTAGGTTACTGAGTCAGTGGTTCATTCATTCTAATTCTCATTCTGCTGTCTTATTTTAACCTCCCTGCACAGGGCTAAGGTAGACATATGCACCCCCTTTCCACACACGCACAGGTATCATCGGGAGAATTAGACAAAAAAATTATAAATTACACTGGTCATGTATAAATAAACAGTAAAGAAATGCATGTACAGTACTTATTGTAGGTTGGCATCATAAGAGTCTAGGAAGAGCATTGTTGCAAAGTTGAGAAAGTATGTGAAGTACAGGTACTAGTAATTTCCCTGTTAGCCAGAATCCCCGATCCCTGGAACTCTCCAATAGCCAGAATTGAAATTGGGCTGGAAAAATTCCTTGAAAACTTTCTCCATTCTGGGTTTGCGAACGAGTTTCCAGGATGAAAATCAGGTGCAATTTTGAGAAAATCTGCCCTAATAATCTTCATTCTGGGCTTTGGAATAAATTTCTGGGAGTTCTGAGAGATTGCATCATGCCAGGCGCATGGGTGGCCTAGCTGCTTGGATCGTTTAGTTCATATTCTGCTGCCATTATAGAAGATTGGTCCCTTGCTAGTTGCTGTTTTTGTGTACACTTAGTATTGTGCAGTACTGTACATTACTGTACCAGGACACAGTCAGCCAAGAATACAGTGTTAAAGCAGTTTTAAGACATAAGAAGTGATTACAGTTACGTATACTGGACTGTGCATTCAGTAAGTGGGAAACACTAGAGGACCTTAGCTTGCATCTTTATTCAAGATATTTTCAGGTCATGAGACCCACTAATCCTTTATCCTAACAATGGGTGACCTGACATTGCATTAGAAGGTCAGTAATATGAGACCACTAATCCCTCACCCCACCTCCACTGCTAATGAGAGAAAAGTTTATGTACAATGGGTGACCTGACATTGCATCAGGTCAGGTCAGTAACATGACCCATAAATCTCCCACCTCTACATTCATCACAAGTGTTAAGAGGTTAAAAAAGGATTACAGTTACTTATTACATTCAGCAGAGTGGGCGCTGAAGCTTTAAGTAAGTTTGGAGGTTGTGTTTCTGCTTCATTGATACAAAGTTATTTCTTGCTATAGTTGTGATGTATACATATGAGAAAACAATTCTATAAATCTAATTCATCTCTAAATGATATACACGCTAAAAATAAAATAAAAATATTGGTTTATATTTTCAGACATTAACTATTACAACACTAATATAATTAACCCTTTGGCAATAGCCAGAATAAAATGATAAAGTGTTGGAATTGCATGGAAAGGGCTAACTACCATGATGCATTTATTTTTAAGGAGACAGTTGGATCTTGTTTAGTTTAAGATTTTTATGCTGGTTATATTGTTTAATGTGCACTGTAAACACTAGTGTGATACTGTATGCTGATATCAGAGTAGTGCAGTACAGTATATCCAGGGCCAAATTTAACCAGGCACCAGGCTATGGTAGGCATACCCCCCCGGTCATGCATCACATAAACCTTAAAGAAATCCATGTCCTTACCACAGGTTGGCATCACAGGGGCTAGTGTGAGTAAAGAATGCACACAAAGTGGCATGTGTGTGAGGCAGTAGGTGAGGCTGTCAGTATGAGGTACACAACATTTATAGGCAGTATGAGACAGGACTTTTTTCTTAATTATTCCTTTTTACGATTAATTTTGGTCAGGAGACTGCTACAACACTTGCACTTGGGGGTTGGACAGTAGAAACACATGGTGAGGTAGTGAAGTCCAAAGGCGAGATCCCTACCTCACAAAAACTGAGAAGCTACTGATTTGTGAAACTAGGAGGCCTGCATGTGTGAGTGAGTGAGAGATAAATGCCTGCTTGGCAAAATAATCTGGCCCGGACCATGTGGTAATCTAGTGAGGACTGTATGGTAATCTGGCAATTCAAATCGCAAAATTACAATAGGTCATACATCAATCTTGTCATGGTTATGCACTGTTGGCAATTACAGTGCTGGGCATGCACCGATTATCAAATATATCTGAACTTGTGCCAGTGTTGGTTAAGTCTGACCCCGATTGAGTTAACACTCATTGCCATCAGAACACTCACTGGCAGATCACTCCAAGTGTTCACAGCTCTCACTCCCAAGAAAGTTAGCTCTTGACAATTTTCTGAACTATATCTGTGTCAACGTTATATAGATGCACTATAGGAACCGTTGTCACTGTTGAGGGACCAGGTCAAAACCTTATGTTGAATATAGAGTTGTCAACTATTTCAGAGCTGGTGTCTCTAGTATCAATTGTTCTGGAGCCATAGGCTGCCATTGTAGTCAGTAATAATAATATCTTCATGTTATTCCCATACAGGTGATTCAATCCCTGCATTGATCTATGCAAGCACAGTGTTTGGGATACTGACATGGATGGTGACGCAGAGAACACTCTACCACACCAACCTTGATGTCTTCTTACTGGCTGGTCTCAAGCTTTTCTTCTATGGTAAGTGATAAATGTGAAATGCTAGTGAACATGTTCTTATATATCTTACACACTCTTTCACCAACAATATTTTTGCCATCAGTCTTAAAAATGATCACATCATATCTATCCCTCAGTTACAAGAACCATCCTGGTATGTGGTACGAGCGTCATCACCACGCTACTGTACATCCCCATCATCTACCTTTCTGCCAAGGCTGCAGGGGTTGTTGGTTTCATGGGCTACTTGGCCTATGTGAAAGCAGCCAGAAATATAGAGCTCTTTGATGATCCAGTTGACATATACACCTTCTACCCCATGCATAACCCATCAGTGCAGGTGGCAGAGAGCATAGTGTATTGCATTTGGGCCGTGTGTGCGTATTGTACTAGTTCAGATTCCCATGCTTCTATTGGTCTTGCCATTATGCTCATTACCCTTATTGGTCACAGCATTGGCTTGGGGTGGCTTTGGTTTATGAGGTCATGGCGAAGCCAACCACTACGTGACCCTGCCCAGGTACTTACCCTAATAAAGCAGATGGAATATGTTAGGATGTAGAATTTCTGTTATCTCTCTCGCACACGCAATAAAGTTTCTATGACCAGGAAAGTCATAATGGAACCTGTCATTACCACTCACCAATTTATCACACAAGGATTTTTTTTTTGCTTAAGTTATACAGTACATTACTGTACTTCACCAGCTTTGTTATTGTTTTGGCTTTAACATAAGCCATAAAGTAAATAAATAAGGCGCAAAAAGAGACTATATTTTTTCATTCGATTAATGAAAAACAGTTTTAGGTTCCCAACATCATATTTCAGATAGTTTCTCACACACCTACCAAGTGTAGTATAGTTGTAGAAGGAGAATTTTATGAACTTTCCAACAGTGGCTTTCAAAGTTTTATACAGCTAATAGTTTTGGAGAAAATTGTAAAAAAATAACAATTTAAAAAATTACCAATTCCTTATACGTATCTTTTTCAATTTTTTTTTTTTTTGCACGTATGAGGTTTATTATATTAAGTTTTAGTGCATTGTATAGCTTGTAATGTTAAGAATCACTAAATTTTTTATATTTTGAACTACAGGTATTTTAATTTCAACTGGCCATTGTGATAGAATTTTCATCAGAGCATTAAGATTTCCACAAATCTTAGATGCTTCTTTATACTGTACAGGTTATTCAATTCTGTAATCTCTTTCTTCTTAGAAGGAGGCTGAATTGAGAATAGTGAGAATCTATTAAACGTAACTTAGTGTGATATGATAAATTTTAATGAGAGGTCTTCTTAGTGTACAGGGTGTTCACCTCACAGTAATCCACACATTTAAAATACTGTACAGTACATGGTATTGGTTAGTGCATTGAAGAAATCATATGCAGGATATAGGGTTAGCAGGACATGTGGACTCCCTTTAGTATGGTTACAAGCTATTGATGTGCCAGTTGGATCAAGATTCACCCATTAATACTCTTGTGAACCTGGTGTACTGCCTGTCCCATATCCCTGAAGTGAACCTGATGTGGCAAACTGTTACCTAGCTGCGAGCATTTGTTTGCAAACATCTTGCTTGCTGTTATTTTATATTATTAATTATATTATTATTATTATTTAAGACAGAGAACATTTGCATTACTATGTTCAGGGGGACTTTGTTATAATTGTCTTTATTATAATTGGTTTTGCACTTAAGTGGTCAAATAATTGTGGACCTACATGTATAAAGTCCCCAAAAGTTAAGAGAATTCAAAGGCTGAAATCCATCAATCTTTGGGAGCACAGATGTTTGAGCTATGCATGCTCAATACCAGTTGCCTGTGTCCACAGACATTATTTTGAAGTGCTCCAAGAACAATAATTATTATCAACTTTGCTGTGTCTTTGGTGACATTGTTGAACTATTTTTGTAGCTGAAGCAAGGTGGTGTAGTGGCTAAAAGGAAGCATAGCAGTTTTTGGATGAACGTGAAATAAGAAGTGGTGGGCATGTCTCACTGAACCACTTTCACTAAATGAGTGTGTGAGTGCATGGTTAGGTAGCTTGTGCCTCATCAACACACGGACTCCAAATGACTTAAAGTACCTTAAGTTAAATAATTTCATAAAATAATGTGTCATCAAATGTTTAACAAATGTTTCTAAGGTGTAGCCTTTTATTTTCAGGTCATAGTATTACAAATTACTTATTGTATGTTTTCTCTATTATTGAAGATATTTTATTAATCATGACGAACCATAAACCATAAGAGGCCAATCATAAGAGAATAAAATAATGAATCTTTAAATAAATAAACCTGACGAATGCGGCAACACCCGATCAGCCCCAGCCTGCTTACATACAGTATTACCCCGCCTAACGCGGTTTCACTTAACGCGTTTTATCATATACGCGGTGCCTCGCCAGAGCTGAACTTTCACTTAACACGGATTTTTTCCACATATACGCGGTGAGTGTCCGGCTCGAGACGCTATTTTTAGATTTGCCCCACCCGCCACCCTGCCTGACTGCCTGTTTTAGCTCATAAAATTCATACAAATTACCCTGCCAGAATATAATTTACATTGCTGGAATTCTTATAATTTGGTGATCATTTTGAATATAAACATCATATATTTTGCATTAGACATACAAATTTTAGATAAAAATTTTTTCTCAGGTAACTATGTTATCTTTTGTGCAAAATATATGACATTTATATTCAAAATATTCCTGGTCTTACAAGGAATCCAGCAATGTCAATTATATTATCCTAACTTTAGTTTGAGGTATTATTTATTAAAATTTAGTGGTTATCCCACACATCTCCTTGGGACGGTTGGTGGGGGGTGGGGGGGAGGGAGGGACCGACCGACCATCTGTTACCCGTGAAGAATTTTTTTTTTTATTAACTGAAGATATTTGTTTTAGCTCATAAAATTCATACAAATTACCCGGTCAGAATATAATTTACATTGCTGGAATTCTTATAATTTGGTGATCATTTTGAATATAAACATCATATATTTTGCATTAAACATACAATTTTAGATAAAAATTTTTCTCTAGGTAACTATGTTATCTTTTGTGCAAAATATATGACATTTATATTCAAAATATTCCTGGTCTTACAAGGAATCCAGCAATGTCAATTGTATTATCCTAACTTTAGTTTGAGGTATTATTTATTAAAATTTAGTGGTTTTCCCCCAAAAATTTCTCTGAGAGGGAAGAGCCGGCAGTGTAGTGTGAGAGTGGGAGGGAGTTGAGTCCATTATTTGAATGGACATTAACTTGGCGACTGTATTTCTCTATTTCTCTTAAGTATTAATTGTGTGCATGTACCATCATAAAATTAAGATGTTATTTTTACTACAACATAGGTATGTGCCTTCAAAAAGTGGAGTTTGGGGTCGGGCCGGTTTCTATTGGAATTAATCCCATATGTTCTGTTGTTCACTTAACGCGGATTTCACTTAACGCAGGACCCTCTGGGTTCAATTGACCGCGTTAAGTGGGGTACAACTGTACAGTACTCAGTGTCTTAGTTCTCGGTGGGCCTATAGCAAATCTGATTAGACCACTGTACAGTATTTAGTGAGTAAGTGTTGTTCTTTTCATAAGATTTATGTTTTCTTTCCCATTTCTTAAAATATGCACTGAATTTTTTTATAAGTTTCAGGTGACCAGAGCACCTTAGAGTCCGAAAAAACCGAATTCATATACTGTACTATATATTGAAGTCCTATTGATCGAGGTTTTACTGTGTGTGCGTGCTTGCGTGCATTCATTTGTAATAGTGCTGTTTACTACCTTTGAGTGATACATCATGGCTCAATTTGGCTACTTGTACACTTAGACAACTGATTAATGAATAAACCAGGGTATATGCAGATACATAATACTGTACTGTAAACTACAATATCACTTATTTAGGTGATGGATGATAAATATACTATAATAGTACTTATTAACTGGTGATAAATACACTACCCGTACAATACTATTTATTATGATAAATACATTACTGTACTGTACTAAGTGTTGAATATAAGACATTGTGGTAAGCCTATCGGCTGTTTGCCCTTTGTAAACATACGTTTCGTAGTGTTGAGTGTGTGATTATTTTTTCAAGAAAATTGATTCTTTTATGATAATATTTTATCAACCTGGTACCAAATGAATCTAAATGATAAGAGAATTATGGTGAAATTTCATAAAGACTTGTTAAAGGAATCGTGGGAGAGAGGTAGAGGGAGCCACCCACCCTCCCTCCCCCACCCCTGTCTCCTCCCCTCTGCCTGCTGCTCCCACTTGTCTTTCACAGATAATATACTCCTACACTTATTAGTTCTTATTTTTATCATTATAGTACTGTACAGTATACAGTTTTCTCTTTATTCATAAGACAAATTCTGTGGTTACTTACACTTAGCAGCATATAACAATCATCTCGGTGAAAATAGTTGTTGACAACCAGACTTATATCTGTTTCATATTTTATTATTGTTGATGTAATATTCTTTTAGTAACCTTGTTATACACTTAAAGATCTAAGTTGTTAAAGTGTAGTAATAACATGTGTTCGCTTTTTTCGGACTTTCGCATTTTTGGACTGGTGTCTTCTCTAATTAGTTTTGATTACACCCTATTCCTATTAATTCTTATGGGAATTAATTCCCCTTTGGAAGTGGTTTCATTATCAGTGGCTTTTTTTCTGGTCCCTTTTAACCACTTATAATGAGGACCACCTGTATAAAGATAATAATGTATGTCTTCATTGATTCGCGTGTTAATTCACAATTAATTTTATTATTTTTTAATACTTTTTTAACCCAATTATATAACTGTATAAAAACATTTTAACAATAAGTGTTGTGTAGAGAAATAATCAGTGAATGAAAGAAAATGACTTGCCAGAGGGGATATGTAGATAATAAGTTTGCAAGTGTTAGATAATGTTTGGAAACAATGAAAGAAATATGTTAATTTTTGTTTGATGCAAATGAAGTAAACAGAGATAGGCAGTATGTATAATTTATCATTTCACCACTTATAAGCTTACTAGCCTTTTGGGCAGTTGGTCTGCTCTTTCTCCAGTGTAAGTACAGGAGGAAACCGAGTACCCAGAGAAAACTTGTGATGTTTGATAGGGTCACTTTGGATAAAATATCATTCCCACCTGTGTCTGAACCAGGACAGGACTTGAGCCCATGACATAGTACAATACCGAGAGATACACCAGTTACCACTGTACCGCCAACACCCACAACAGTAGCAGTAGTGGGGGATGGAGACATTAGAATAAGTTTCCAGAGAGTAATACTGTTCGTAACATAGGGGCTTGGTGGGTACAACAGGGCATTAAGTGTGTGTGTGAGTCAATGAGGGTGCGCATTAGGTCGCTCTTACATTATCGCTGACGTCATATGACGTATCAGACTGTGATTGGGTCACACATCCTTACCTCCTTCTGCCGCTAGCTGTGATTGGTCTCATGTAACATGACGTGCCCTGCCACCAGAGGGAAGAAGTCGCTGACCTAGCCGGGCCAGTCTCATTGTTCTCAGTTCTCCGTGTATACTATTCTCTCCTGTGCCCGCTATTCCCCTCACAATGGCTTCCGCTGGACCCCCACCACCCCCGAGAAACCTTGAACTACCTGGACCAAGCCATGGTTATGTGAAGGAAGTCATCGAGTTGGGGGAAAAAGTCAAGCTCATCCTTGACAAAGACACAGTCAAGCATCGGTATGAAGTGTCTAATAACCTTCTGTCAAAAATTATGGAGCCGTATGTCCAGGTGTATCACAACAACATCAAAGCTAGTCTTGCCCGCAACCCACCACAACCACAGCCAGCCCAAGTCAGTGATAGTGACAGTGAGGATATGGACTTTGAGGGGTTTGTCAGGGAGGCCCTGCAAACCTCTGTGAATAATGATAGTGATTCACCGGAGGGCCACTAATCTGCCCTCTGCCTCGGAACCAGCCGCCATCCACGTGTGCCGACCCATCGCTTCTACTAACATAAGTGTTAAACACCTTTATATTTGTAGTTTTTTATTTAGATATTATGTGTGTGTCAATACCATCATAAAATTATGATGTTATATTTACTCCAAGGTGTCGGAAAAAGTGGAGTTAGGGAGTCGGCCCAGTCTCTGTTTCAATTAATCCCATATGTTCTGTTATTTCGTTTACGCGTTTCTCGTTTTACGTGGACCTCCACGGGTTCAATGGACTGCGTAAATGCAGACTATATTGTATACTAGATTCATACATTGGATGACTTTCTTCATTAAGGTTTCAGAAGGTGTATAAAGGGATTACAGTAATGTACAGAATATTTATTTGCCAAATCTTGTTACAACATAGATACTTTTACAAGTGTTTATAAAGTAGACAAAATAACTGTTTTAAATTGTTATGCCAAGGACTTGTGAAGGATGGATGACAACATTAAGGTGACATTACTGTATAATGAATCAGGTGGGTCGTAAAACAACATTGTTGTAATCATGGGTAAATAAAGAGAAGCAACGTTATGACAAAACAAAGTTAGTTGGGAAGACATTAAACAAGGAGTTGGTGTACCTCGCTGCAGATATCTATACAGTGGTCCCTCGGTTAACGAGATTTCGGTTCACGAGTTACCTTCCATAAGACTCTTAACTTCGGTTAACGAGCAATCCCTCGATTAACGAGTTTCATACGAGCCGACCTCCGCATGTTTTAGCTTACATTTGGCGGTCCACCAGCTGTAGTATTAGTCTGCCAATACAGTAATCGGATCTAGGGCTTAAATTCCTTACCCTTTTAGTAAATATCACGAAGTTTATACTATTCAATAATTTTAAAAGTTTAATATTAAATTTTTTAGTCATTTTAACAATTAATGAACATAATTGAAGGTAAGGTCACTAGTTTGTGGCACGCCATCCAGCCTGCCAACACAGCATACAGGCATCAGTCTTTTTGTCTTTTCAGTGGAGGTAACATCTTGCTTGAGACTCTCTTCAACTAAATGCATTTTTTCTGTGTTTACAAGCAAATTATTGGTCATTTTGAAGTTTATTTTACATATTGACAATATATAATGCAGTGCAGTGTTGATTTAAAGAAAATAATCTTGAATTACACCAAGAGAACTAAAATTTTATGGGTGAAATGGCACCATGGGGCGACTTCTCTTCCACCCCAATGCCTTCTCTTCTCCCTTCTCCTCCACCCCCATTCTAATTCCCATCATCATCATCATCATCCAGGAGCCTTCTACATACACACCTCAAAGTAAGTGTACCTTTCTACCTATTTTGTTGAATTTAGGCATTTTTCGGTGAGCTGGAACCAATTACCTAAAAACCCATTGAAACAATGGTTTCGGTTAACGAGTTTTTTGGTTAACGAGCAACCTTCTAGAACGGATTGTGCCCGTTTACCGAGGGACCACTGTATATCACACAAGTGTTACAACACCAAAAAAATGAAAGTTTAGAAAGCGTTATTCAGTTCTTATGCAATGAAGGGTTTGCATGTAAAGAAATTATGAAAAAGAAACTCGAAGCTACACCTGGGTGCATAGCCGGAGAGAGGTGAAGGGAGGGAGGAGTGTTGACTGAACTGTGATAACAACACACTTCCTGCAATCATCAGCCCCGGGTCCATTATAACGAAAATATGCAATTTCACCATAATTCTTACATTACAGTATCTAGCTTCATTTGGTGCCTGGTTCATGAAACATTTTTGTAAAATAATCAATTTTCCTGAGTAAAAAATGTCACTCGACCCTAGACGAGTTATTGTGTCATATTAAATTCCTGGTGGCTTTGTTTACATAGCACAAACAGCTGATTTCCTGCACCATCCCTCACCATGCTGTCGAGCTTACCATAACTAATGACTTATTTATTAATCACTTCTTTTATTGTACAAGTTGTGAAATCAAGCCATCATATATCACTCAAAGGTAACAAACAATGTTGTTAAGAATGTATCTCCATATCAAATACTATATAATACAGTCTGTTATAATGCCTCTATTGTAAGCTGATTTGATGAAAACTCTCTCTCTCTTGGAACATATCTTGAGCTTTCAGAGGGTGTTACTGTACGTGTTGGAATGCAATTACCTTTAATCACTGTAAGTCGCCTTTCTCTGGAACACATTCCCAACGTATAATGATGACCCTCTGTAATGGTTGAAGATCATTACTGTGCAGTATACACATTAAAAGCATTTACTAACCTAGAGAGAATAAGTATAAGATTATAATTTGACTACTGTATATCATATGATGGTTTAATTAAGTACATAATATCATTTGGGTTCTTTATTTCCTTTGGTTTATTCTTTTCACCATTTGGCTGCTTACTAGTCAGTTGGTCAGCTGTCACTGCTCACCAGTGTACTTGAATATGTTCTGGACATAAAGAAGCTCAAACCTGAGATATATTGTATATCAGTTTAATCTATGTACAGTATATATCTGTGCAAGACCAGAAACATAGATTATGCTGGTATCCCATGACCTTATTCTTGACTTTTCTTACTCTTATATATTTTGTCTTTTTTTCTGAATATCTGTACTTAATGTAACCTCAAATTTAACCTCAGCTAAGCTATACAGAAAACCAGTATTGTAGAACACTCCTACCAGAGTCCATTCATGTTATTCCTGTTATTTTCAGATAACCTCGAAAGGTTTCCCAAACCCTGGCATTGCAGTTTCTCTCCTTATCCCTTGTGTACAGTGTTATTGAATATATATTTTTAATAGAGTATCGAAAGTCTCAACATTAATTTTGCAAAATATCTGTTCATATAGAGAAGTATCAGAACGTCCTTACTTATCCTCGTTGTCACTTGTCAGATCTTTGTTAGGCACTGTTGGCAGGTAGGACATGTACAGGCTCTTGAGAGTACCTGAACATGTGCCATTGTTGGTGTAGGCTTAAAGGAGTTCACAGTTAGTGCTGTCTCAACATTCTCTGGCAGGCATTGTACAAATTCACAACTCTTACTGCAGAGTAGTTACCCGACAGTTTTTTGTACTGGTAGCTTCTTTAACTTGTGGCTGTGACCTCTAATGGGGCGACCATATGCCGACTCCAGATATGTACATTTGACTGTGTAATGCCTTTTACAATGTTTATTAACTAATCCTGAATTGCCCCTTACCTTCAATAGTATAAACTGGGCAATTGAAGACATTCTAATCTCTCATGCTAAGTAAGTTGTTTAAGTACCAGCACTAGTATGGTGGCCACCTTTGGACATTCTCAGTCAATTGGCAGTTATTTTTGTATCTCATACACCAAACAGACATACATTACTTCAATTGAAGGAGCACTACACCTTTGAAAAGCTTTATACTGTACTGCACTGTACTTTACTTTATCCTATTTGCCACTTGGGCATGATGCTGTCACAGAAGCCTCTGGCAGATAATTCCAAGAGTTTACAGCTCTCACTTCAAAAGAGTTTGCTTTTTGAACCTGAGGCTATTACCTCAAGTGGGGTGGGCATCTGCTAGTTCCAGGTATGAACACTTGACTGAGCAATGTCATATGAGGAACTTATAGAATTCTGTTGAGTCACCCCTTGCCCATGTAGAGTTGGGTATAAGCGAGGCAATAGTAGGCCGTTCTAATCTCTCGGGGTGCTTGAGTTGCCAGAGTGCAAGCACCAATTTGATGGCCCTCTTTTGGGCATTCTCAATTTTTTATGAGAGACTGATGATATATGTACAGTATGAGTGAGTATACTTTTTATGTATGGATTATATGATGGTCCTTTAGCTGTTGATTACTTTAAGACTTGACTTTACAGTATTAAAACTTGTTATATTTTCTTTGTATGGTAATTCTCTAAAATAAATCTATTATATTATGCTTCTGGCAAAATAAAAGAAATTTTTTAATATACAGTAATGACTTTTTAAGACAGTGCTAATCATTAAAAGGAATATTTTATTTCAACAATAATACTTTATAAGTACTGTATTACTTAGTTGCTACCAGTATTACTCTCCAAAGAACATATGTATTTGTCCTGCCCTTCAAAGCTTTCTTCAATATGTGCTGGAATATACTGTATCACTTTCACCCTTGGGGGCTCCACTGCCCCTGACAGGGACCCTGGGGGCCCCTGGGGTCGCCACTGCCCCAGAGAGGGCCTTGGGAGTGCCACCACCCCTGGAATGGCCCATGGGGATGCCACCTCCTCTGGGAGGGCCCCTGTGGATACTGCTCCCCCAAAGAGACCCTGTTAGTGCCACTGCCCCTGGAATGGCCCCTGGGGGAGCTACCGACCCTGGAAGGGCCACTGTAGGTGCCACCGCCCCTGGCAGGGCCCCTGGGGGCGAGGCTGTTTCTGGGAGGGCCCCTGGGGCGAGGTTGTTCCTGGGGGCTACACCGCCCTTGGTGGCACTGCTCCTGGAAGGACCCCTGTTGGCTGCACCGCCCCTGGCAGGGCAACTGGGGGTGCCACTGCTCCGTGGAGGGCCCATGGGGGCGCCACCGTCCCATACAATGACCTTGGGGGCGTTACTGTCCCTGGTCAGGCCCCTGTTGTCGCCACAGACCCTGTGAGGCCCCTGGGGGCGCCATTGTCCTTGGGAGGGCCCCCGGGGTCGCCACCATCCCTGAGGGTGCCATCGCCCCTGGAAGGGCCACGGGGAGCTGCGCCGCCCCTGGCGGCGCCACCGCCTCCGGCAGGGCCCTTGGGGGCGCCACTGCGACTAAGAGGGTCTCTGCTGTTTACAATGGTCTGAAAATTTAATTTTTTTTTCAACATACACACCCAGATCCATTTCATTTCTTCCAACCCATTTACTATTTATGCATTCACAATAGACTTTTATCATCAAGAAAGGAAACAGTAAACTCGGTTTTACCATGACAACTTTATTCAACGTTCAATACAAAACTTGACTTTGGCTCTAATGTATACAATAGGCAATGATAATGGCACTCATAATGAATATGACACAACTATCTACATACACATGATTCAGGTATTGAATAGATCTCCCCCCAAGTATTTAACTCAGTTTCAGTGGCAGCTACACAGGAATCAAGTTTAATTTTCTTGTAACTCTGACACGGTTACATTTAAAATTACTAAAATTAAAAGAACATTTACTTCTTTTTCAATACTGATTTGAGAATCTCAACAGTTTAAATAAAATAGAAAATCATTAAATATTAGGTCTCTTAACCTAAACTGTTTTATCAAATGCCCCTAAAAGTGAAAATATGAGGTACAAAATCCCATATTGTTACTAAGGAGACGAGCAACCTGTAAGAGTTGGTCAGCCATCAAGAGTTGATCGGTAGAACCTTCCAGTATGACGAGTCATGAAGTGCTTGAAGAAAATGCTTAATTAATCAAAGGAAAATGTACTGCTGCATGCAATAAACACATTTTGCTTCCCTAATAATGCATCTACAGTGAACCCTCACTTTACGCGGTCAATTGAACCCACGGTGGCCCGCATAAAGTGAACAACATAACATATGGGATTAATTGAAATAGAGACCGGGCCGACCCCCAAACTCCACTTTTTCAGACACAATACCTACGTTGTAGTAAAAATAACTTCTTCTTAATTTTATGATGGTATGCACACACAATTAATAATTAAGAGAAATATCAATAATATTAGGTTTTTTAACACTTACATTAGTAGAAAAGATGGCTGGGCACACGGGGATGGGGGGGTTGGTTCCGAGGCAGAGGGCAGATTATTGGCCCTCACCTGTATGAATTGTATCACTATCCACCACAGAGGCTTGCAAGGCCTCTTTGTCAAACCCCTCAAAGTCCATATACTCACTATCATTATCACTATCACTGACTTGGGCCGGCTGTGGTGGGTGGCTGGTGAAGAACTCGGTAATGTTTTGATGACTGGGCGACCTTGTGCGCACCCTGCTCGCGCCGCTCTCCGCGTAAAAGGGTACACACACCGCGGAAAGTGAGCATTCCGTGTTCGGCAGGGTACCGCGTAAACGCGTAAAGTGGGACCGCGTAAAGCGAGGGTTGACTACATGAATCTGGTTATTTGTTTTTGAGATCAATGAGGAACCCAGGTCTGAGTTTAGGCACTTCACAAAGTGTGCCTTTTATACATTAACTGACAACAGGAGTTTATATCTTATTTTGCCTTCAAATACCTGCCAGTTTAAGACATCCCTCATTCAAGAAAGGATGGATTCTGGGTTGCCCACTTGCCTCCCCAGGCACAAAATATAACTTTCTTCCCAAATCCTTCATCTGTAACCTAAGGAGCCTTGTGTGCAAGCTGTGAGAACTACATTAGCTAAGGAAATTGAAAGAGGAAATCACATAACAAGCAAGTATCACAAATCAAATGTACGGGTACTTCAAACAAGAAATCCCACCCCACAACTGCATAGTATGGAAAAAAAAATTCTCCATTCACACATTTCATTGCAACGACTTGAAGACCAAGCACCTTGTAATTAAGAACAAATCATTGTGAAAGAAACAAGAACTGGAAAAAATAAGTTTAGAAAGAAAAAGGAAAGCACTTAATCTTCCTATGTCTGTCTACTGGGTAGTGAAATTCCTTCACATTTTGGGCGACAGCAGGAAAGTGGAGGTAAGGTATGAACTACAGTTATAGATAACGTGAGGAAAACCTTTTGCTTAGAATCTAGACTCCAACTGGGACATCTATTAGATTCACTGGGTGGTGAGGCTACAATGCATTCATTAGTTTCAGCAATATACTGTAGCATTACATAAAGTTCACCTGCCAGCAAGTATTCCATGTCTCCTGGGTACTGGCCAGGTCCACCTAGGGTTGCTTGGCAGTGAACCATTTCTCACAGGTTGCCTGTTTGCACAGGTCAAGAAGTTTGAAATAATAAGTTGATATAATTTTCTTAAGTCAGCTTACTATTTGTAGTTGCATTTTTTTATGAATTTATATTTATTAACTATAAGTATACAACACTGTATATCAACTAGGGGCAATAATCAAACATAATCTTCACCAGAAAAGTGTTAAGAGCTTATAAGTTGGATACCAATTAAATCCATGATCTTTCTTAAAAGGAATTGGCTATGAGAGATGACATACTTTATCTGAGAACAAATCATCTGCATTAAACTTATTCCTTAGCCATATGAGACTGAAAGATTAGTAATGTTTATTGTTTAATGATTTTAATGTAAGACATGTCAGCTCAATTTTAGAAGAAATGAACCAATAAGCACAGAATATAAATAACCAATTAAATTGTAAATACTGTACTGTACTGTACAGTCCTTATGAAAACTAAGAGAAAACAGAGAAATTATAAAAAAAAAATTCTAAGCAACACGTACACACAAACATTAAATTACATATCGCTAACCCTTCTTCATTTCTTAGTGTTTTCACTTCAATTAACCCTTAAACCCTGGGTGGCGTTCCTGGATGTTTGCCGAGGGGACCCCAGGTGACGTTCCTAAACGTTCTTAATTTTCGCAGCATGTTTTGGATGTCCAGGCGGGAGGAAATACCTTGAATGGGATATTTGTGTAACAACTCAACTCGTGTGTATTACTCAAGAATCATGCCTCATGGTCAGTTACCTGCCAGATATTATGATGGATGCACATCCTTAGACCTCTCTTATGACACCTCATTCCTCTACACCCAAGTGCAAGCAAAGGCATTTGCTTGACAGTAGTGCTGTTCATCACAGGTTGCTTTGCTTGATTTGAGTGGCATTGATAAAGTATTTGGTGACGAAGACAATGATGAGGTGGAAACAAAACCCAGAGGATGTCGAGTTTACTGAGGCGGTGAGGACAGTGCTAAGCCTACAGACTGACACTTCCTCCCCACCAGCCACCGTGAACCATGGCACAAAGATATGGTGACTTGTGCAAGGATTGTGGAGTTGCCTTGTACTCTCCATGTTCCAAAGACTTCCACATGATCAAGAAGTTCTAAATTCAGTATAAGTACATGTAAATAGTGTATGGTTATATATTTGAAAATAGTGATAAGTTTTGTGCTGCCTTAATATTCCTACTGTTAAGTATTTTATAGTTCTTTTGAAGAAAATAGAACTATATCGAGTTTTATAATAGCTATAAGATAGAAATACGATATAAAAGGGCCTTCAAGTAAGAACTGTATGTTGCAAGTGTGTGTCAAATTCACTTCCCCACTCACTGTGAGCTGTGTGCAGTAGCTTCAAACAAGATCATCTTTCATCACTCCACACTGCTCATCAACACTCCTGACAACTCTCCAACTATGAAAGTTGAATGTAAGTTCATAATCCTGGTATTTTTCTTATAATGATTAACCCATTTATAAGTTGACAATGAATTAACAAAACAAAAAAAACATTCACGAAATATGCTCACGTGGGGAGGTTTGGCAGGTTTTACAATGCCCGGGGTCTAAGGGTTTAACATATGCAGGTCTCACTTATAGATTAAATGATATTCATAGATGTATAGCACATTTACAAGCATACATGCTCACATATGTAAGCTTTAAATGTAATGTCATCTGCAACATGAAAACAAAAATGTGCACAAAAATAAGAAATGCAGTCCAATTACAACACACTTTACTATGATGGCCTGGTCTTCTACTCAGGAAATGGCATGGTATTTTTCATATAATTTTACCACACACACTGGTGATCTATTGCAAGTAATGTAGGCTGACAGGTTTCTTTTTTTTTATCATTTAAAAATATGAAATCTTTGGAAACACGGAATTTAAGAAATATATCAGATACAGCACTGTTTTGTATATAATACAGCACCTATATATGTACTGTTAAATTTATGAAAGATATTACAAAGAAAATAAAAACTGAACTGCAAATCTGCCTGAAGATATTACAATAATAACAGAGGTATACAGCAAAATGTAATACTGAAGATAAATAATTATCTATATTTAATACAACTAACCACCATTTCACTTTATAATTTTTTCTACAACTTTCATATAGCAATCAGTCCATCCCTATTCATTACATTACTTACCATTACCCAACAACAGGGTGTCTCATGCTCACATCTTCATCAAAGTCTTGTTCCGTATACTACTCCTCTATACAGGTATTGACCATTATTCGATCGACCAGTTTTACGATGTTAAAAAATTAACACCATTTACCGATATGCAATGGCTATGATCAGTTTTATGATGGCTGGTACCCGAATGCTTTTCCAGCATCGTCACTACAGTGGTATCTCCATTAGCCAGAACAATTGGTGCAGAACATTTCCGGGAATGACAGATTTCCTGGTAACGAGACGACTCTGTCAAAGTCGGCAAAAATCCCTCATCCCCGGGAACTTTCCAGGTAATGGAAAAATGTTCTCGGAAGGTCCAGAAATTATCCATTACATCTTCTCTTGAACCCGGAAAAATATCCCCCATCCCAAGAATTTTCCAGACTTGGGAACGATTTTCTGATAAAATTTAAATTCCGGTTATCGGTGAGTTCCGAGTTCGAGGGATTCCGGCCAACGGAGATATTACTGTATTCTTGAAAAAGTGATGTGCAATAGCTCGCGATATTCTGAGATATGATGAAGCGATCTTGAAATGGCATAGCTTGTATGACATAGTAATGTTTATTCCCTTTCTTTTTTTTACTTTAAAATAAATATTTTATTTTATTTATTTTTTGGCACATTCTGTATACAATATTGTGCTTGCATGTAACAGTTTAAAAAATTTAAATTGAGTAGGTCGACCCGAAATTACTTGTAAGTGACAGTTGGGGATCGCAATTTACTACTGTACTTGTACATATCATGTAAGGTAAATGAAAATAAAATATTTATTTTATTATAAATTTATTGTTTTTGTCTTAAGTTTGTATAAATTTATTGTTTTTAAGTCTAATTTTAAATTATTTGAGTTTAAACATTACAGTACTGTATTTAATAATTATACCATCAGAATATAAAACTTGTTTGGGCTCCTCAGGGTCTTAGGAACAAAATCCTATTTCCCCATTAGTTATTATTATTAACGTATGATCGATCATTTAATTTACTTTACTTTTTACTTATATCCTCGGTCATGTCTCTGTTACGCACTGTTGGCAAGTACTTGGCATGCACCGGCTCCTGAATGTACTGAACCTGCTCCAATGTTGGTCAAGTCTGGTCTTGAAACAACTCACACTCGGTGGCATCACAACACTTTCTGGCAGATTGATCCATGAGTTCATAACTCTCATTCCGAAAAAGTTTGCCCTCACAGTTTTCTGGACTTGTGGCTTCTTCAACCTTGAGCTGTGACCCCTTGTGGGGAAAGCGTCTGCCAGCTCCAGGTAAGGACACTCGATGGCTTTATGAGGACCCTAACCCTACTTTATAATGGTCAACACCTGTGTACAGTTATATCCTCTTTCCTTTCCACCTGAATACTCTCAAAATTCACCTTTTACACTGTTTGTTTTTTCCATACATTACAAGTATTAGTTTTCGTATCCCAACAGCATACCCTAAAAAAAAAAATTACTTGTATATATCTGAAACATGCCTTCCAATAAATTAATGCCACCTATCCAAATTCGTATTTTACACCACCCTTTTTCAGCGTCTCAACATCACTTGCACTATATTTACTTAAAACTCCCTGAATATCTTATGATCAACTTCTCATTAAGGAACCAAGTTTTGCTCCAACTTGCCATTATCTGGGGAAAAAACTGAACTTTTAGTAATTTTCACTCTGAATTTCCTCAAGTGATATACTGTACAGTGATATCCCTGTTAGCCGGAACAATTGGTGCAGAGCACTTCCGGGAATGAATGATTTCCGGGTAATGAGACGTCTCTCCCAAAACCCCCAAAAATTCCTCATCCCTGGAATTTTCCGGAATTTTCTGGGTAACGGAAAAATGTTCTTGGAAGTTCCAGAAATTGCCCATTACATCATCACTCAAACCCTGAAAAATATCACTCATCCCCGGAATTTTCTGGGTAATGGAAAATTTTGCTCAGAATTTCCAGAAAATGCACCTGATTTTCATCTCTCAAACCCGGAAAACCTCCCCAATTCCCGGAATTTTCCGGGTACAGGTATCTGGAAAATTTTCTCGGAAATTTCCGGAAAATGTGCCCCTCGGAAAATCATTCCCAAAGCCAGAGTTTTCCGGAAAATTACGGCTTTGGGGACGATTTTCCGAGAAAATTTCAATTCCGGCCATTGGAGGGTTCCGGGTTTAAGGGATTTCGGCTAACGGAGATATTACTGTACAATTCTAAATCCCATTGCAGGTACTTGTATTAAGCCCAGTAACTCTCCATCTGTTTCATTCTAATCATGGTATCAATTATACTGTATATATATATGTTACAGAATATTACTTTTAACTGTCTTCTATGTTTAACAGTTCACTCTTCAACCCACAATGCCAGGTAACATTAGCCTCTACATTTCCACCTCTGGACATTATACTTCCCTGGTGCCATTACACACCTCACTTCTAATTCATCCTCAGCATAATTTTCAATCATTTTAAAAAGCAATTCATAGAACAAAGATTACTTTGAACTGTCAATATAGTATCTGAGAGGCACAAATGTTTTTCACATATAAAGGACTGGTTCATGTGTTGCACTATTGCAGCATGGTATAGTACTGATATCATAAATAAATCACATCTACTAATGTCAATCTCTTCTTCTTTTGGCTATAAAGAAAAAGCAACAGGAAGTGATAATTTGACAGAAAAATGGCATGATATTTACACTGCATGATATGTTTTCTTTTACAAATCACAGTTGGACCTTCGTTCCACTATTTAGAGGCAATCCCTTCCATTAAGGACAAATAAATAAAACTGTTTATATATATCACACTTTGATCAAGTCTATGCTGAACTAATATTTTGTTCATTAACTAAAACTAATATAATGCATTAGTAGGTGAAGGACAAAGAAGAGATACATTAAGCTTCTTGGAAAATTCCATCATATTTTCAGACATCACCACAGTTGTAAAATTGCACTTGTTACTTGAAGAGATTTACTGCATCTTTTAAAGAATATGCACTCTTAGAACTTGACAAAAGTGTCATTTCAGGATATAATTAAGTATGCATTACACTATTGTATCAACACTTTTCCTCCACAAACTTCAAGGTCTTGATCACTGGTGAGAAACACGTTAAAATGAGTAGGGATCACCTCTATGATATATTGGGACGTTGACACCCTTATTGAGCAACGCCCACCACCAGCCACAACGACTCTCCCTTACATCCCCTGTAACCTCAAGGGCCACTCTGTTGATTGTGAATCAAACCCACATTAAAAGAAGAATTTTTTCAAAAATACAGAAATGATGCTTTCTGGCTTTCTCTTCACTTGTTAGTACACGACCAATGGTTCTCTTTTGCTTTCACAACCGAAGATAATGGCATAGAAACTATATTGTTGTAATATAAGTTTGCACTTTTTTATGAGTTTGATTTAAACACTTGATATTTACATTCTGTGAATCCTTATTGTATAACGCAGATCCGTCTGCATGAAGAGGGCACGTATGGAGTGGCTAGTGGACGGGACTAGACCACAGGTGAAATACACCAGATAAGGCACATGGATGACACTAATTAGGAGTAGATCACTTTCTCCTCACAGCAGATGCCGGAGGGTCAGTTGATCTCAGTGATGTACCGGGGGTGAAGAATCCAAGGTGCAAGAGCGTTTCTGTAACACGTGCCACCAGTGGCTCTCGGAACCTCCAGATGGTGGTGTCCAAGATTGTGTGGTTCTTGTATTCTTGGGAACATGATTTCTTCAGAGTATTTACACAATCTGCACGATAGTGCTGCAGATGGGCATCTTCTGTGTCTATCGCATAGGATGAACAGCTTCCACCAAGGCAGGATAAAGGGAAGTGGTTATGGAGAGTCAAAACTCGCTCAGGGTCATGGAAGCATTTAACATACTGTCCAGGTTTGGTGTAGTTGCGGGAACGGTAAACATGTTGTAACATGTGCATGTAATGAGGGATCTCTCGGAACCATCCATGGGTGTGTCTCATTGTGTCCATGAAGTAAACGTTGCGAACATTGTAAGATGCCCGCGGATCTTTCTTTGTTTTGAGTGCTTTTGGTACTACTGTTTCCATCAGTGTTTTCCATGACATAGAACTCTTGGGCATTATAACTTCATCTGTATCAAGCAGAGCAATGTACTTGTATCGATACATATTTTTGTACAGACAGTCATTATAGGGGATTAGTTCATTCTGACGCTTGTTGGTTACCTTAGACTTAAGATACATATGGAGGAGTCCGGGTATGTTTGGCTGTTCGCCTGGTAATGTCAATTTGGTCACTTCTACACGTCCCTGTTCTTCATAATGCCTTAACACTTTGGATATATTAGGGTGAACTTCTAGGTCATAGAGGAACACTTTATTTGCACCTAAAACAAAAAGTAACTCTAGCCACTCTACTAGTCTCACGCTCAAATCATCGTGTAGAAAGTCAAGTCCCTTTACACATACTGCAAAGTTTTCCTTTTGTCCCCCAACGGGGCGATTGTTTATGACCCTGAGATTAGTGGTAGCAGTATCACAGGGCCGCTCCACCAGGGACACTGATTCCGGCACCAAGTGACGATACCCGGGTGGCACCTGGCATGCTATCATGTATGGTTGAAACAACCCATGCTTGTAGTTCCCCCACTTCTTATACCAGATATATTTATATTCCCAGACTCTAGCAAAAACTGGTTCTTTTTGTCCATCAAACCAGAGTTGGCAGTATGTCTTGACTTTGGGCTCAAGGCGATTAATCATACCTAGAGTGCGTATCACTGGCTTCATGGCCACCAATGTTCTATTATCATAATATGAACCAAACAGATGGAAAGTGCCATTGCTAGTTTTCAGTGTCTGCCAGTACATGTTATTAAAACTAAGATCATAAAGGGAGGGAAACTTTGCACATGTTTTGTTCTTGGACATAACTTTTCCCTTGTACTTCTGCCAGTACCGAATTGGTAAGTTGGGTATCTTGGCCTGGATCTGTTCAGCCAGGTCCTGGTCAGAAAGTGAGGGCGACTTGTCGATTGACGGCTCCAACTCAAAGGGATTAAATTCTGTGGTGAGGTTAGATGTTGTCTCGGTGGGGGCGAGGGGTGGTGCCCGTGTCTCCACAATCTTCTGCAGTAGGAGACGGCCCCTCATCATTCCCCCATGGCTCAGTGCAGATTCTTCTTGACCAGTGAACCTGCAATAAGAAATAAAATTAGACTACAGTCTTGAAACAGTAATCAAACTAAATGGAAACTATAACAAAAGGTTCTCTAAGGATATTACATGTTAAGCATAAAGAAATTATATCGTAGACCTGTCCCTAGCAACTAGTGAAACCTTCACTCTTGTAATGACTTATCTAACATGATCATGGAATGACTGTGAACTGGTATGTGAGCCATGGGAGAAAAAGTCCCTAACACCAGTGATTCAAGCCTGGCAACTAACATTACTGTAAGTGACTGGTGAGGTAGGTAAGGTCACGTTTCCTTTTTGTGTGATCTGCACCCAGGATAAGTCAAGGATCCTGGGTAGGATAGCGTGTAAGAATAAGCCGTGGGTGATTAGAGCAGTGACAAGCGAGTCTTCATCTCGATCCTTACTCCACTTGAGTGTCCATGAGTTTACCAGATAATATGATACTAGCCATGCTACATATTGCATTATTTCTCATTATGACTATGTCAATTAGATACCATTCCATGAACATGAGGAAGCTGCCTCTCCTCGCTTTTTACACATGACACATCATCATTACACCTCTACACGTAGTAAGAGAAAGTGTAGGACAAGCATGCTACATTTCACTTTTTTTTTTTTGCCACTTATCAGCTTACTAGCCATTTGGGCGTTCTATCCAGTGTTATTACAGGAGGAACCGGGGACCGGGAAACCTGTGGTGTTTGGTAGGGTCACATCCTTCTCACGTGTGTCAGGGCAGAGTCTTGAACCCTTGACATATTGGTGCTATTGAGTATTTTGGGGTGATATTTGGGAAGGAATGACCTAGGTAAGGAGGTCAATGAATCTGTATGGAGAGAGAGGACCTTAATTAATTATTTGGAGAAGGTCGGGTACTTTTGTGGTGCAGTAACTTTAATAATTCATCAGTAGTGCAATTGGTTCATGTTAATAAATACTGTACCCTCCTTCCAATCTCGTGTGTCGAGTCTTGACCTGAATCAATCTGCTTCATTACTGTAGGTTATGTATCTAAGCTACTGTGCCGAGTAGCAACCCTGTACATAAGCTACTGTGCCGAGTAGCATTTATATATATAATCACGTGGCAACACTGCACGTGTTATGTGGCAACATTGCCCCGAGGCTGCCATATGGCAAGGCAGCCCCAGTCTGACTGTGTGAGCCGTGCATGGCACACGCGAGTCACCTCTTGTATTTCTCTCATCCACAATAAACGGACTCAGTGTTACTCAGTGTTTCCCTAGCCATCACTGCATTCTTCAGGGCACACTAGTAACCTTCATGGCGCAGTGTCTAGGATCTGTGGACTTACAAAGTGTGTGAACTATGCCGAGACAGTTACGTCTGCCGGTGATGCGCGTCATGCGCGTCGACTCATAGTGTGTTGTGTTGTGTTGCGCTGTGTTTCGCCGCGATGTGCAGTGTTGCTCCGTCACAGTGCGTTTTAGTGACGGTGGCAGTGTTAGTGTCAGTGTATTAGTGTGTGTCTAGAGCTGAGAGTTGAGCATTGGCCTGTTTTTTGTGGTACCCACGGAGCACGCAGGCGTACACCCTTCTCGTGCGACATCCGGGGGACACTGACGGTCTTGCCGGTCCACGCTCCGCCCTCTCACACACACACACACAGACACGCACTCACTCACGGACAGAACAGTGGACTATATGCGTTATATCTGCGCTGTTTATGTCATATATATGTGGTTCGAGCTGTTGATGCGCCACTTTATATACTAAACAGTGCAGTCCTCGCACACACAAAGATGGGAGGTAAGAAGGGACAACGTCAAGATGGGAGACACGACTCCCCACCACCTTCTCCTCCACCGGGCGCAGACCATCATCCTCCACCTCCAGTGACGGACATTGCCACAATTCTGAGGTGGATGGACGACCGGGACGAGCGACGTAGAGAAATGGAACTTCAGAGGGAGGAGACACAAAGAGAGGAGGAAAAGTTGCGTTTTGAGGCGCTATTGGCGACCCTGGCGCTAACCCACCCTCCCTCACTTGCAGGTAGCGCGCTTCAAGGCGCCAGTACACTCCCTCCTCCACCACACCAGCGTCCTCCAGGTACTATTGCTACCCCAACAGCTCCCAAGGCATCTGTTCAACCCCCACCCGCCCTCTCACCAGACGTCACGTTACAGCTTTTTCGTGAGTGGAGGCGGCGTTGGACAGATTACTCCACGATGGTGGACCTGGACAGCATGCCTCCAAACAAACAGCTCATCCAACTACGGATGTGTTTGTCGCTGGAGACCCAGAGAGTCTTGGAGCACACGTTGCAAGTGCCTCCCGATTCTACATATTCAGTGACGGATGTGCTCGACCTTTTACAGGAGCATGTTAAGGGTCGGAACAACGAGGCTTTGCGTCGCCGTGACTTCACCAGCTGCAAGCAGGCGGAGAACGAACCCTTTGACGACTTTTTTGTGCGTTTGAAGAGTTTGTCAGAGGAGATCGACGTCTGCAGGGCGCACAGCCGGGAATGTGAGGAAGCCTGGATCAAGCACGGGATCTTGACAGGTGTCAGGCACGAAGAGTTGATGCAGCGACTCATCCCCCTGGACGCTTCCTCCACACTCCAGGTGGTAGTGACTGAATGTCGGTCATACGAGGCCACCAAGTCCGCCACCTCTGCCTTACGGGCCCCACCTGCTGTGAGAGCTATCTCACAATACAAGAAGGATAAGAAGGCGGCCAACAACGCGAAGGCTGCCACACGTTCTTCCACGCCTCCGCCTAGTGCTTCCTGTGGCAGCTGTGGAAAGCAGCACAGCCCCAAGACTTGCCCGGCCGCCGACGCACTGTGTCGTGGATGTGACCGTAAGGGCCACTGGTCTAACACAGACAGGTGCCCTGCACGAGGCCACAAGTGTCAGGCCTGCGGTCGCTATGGACACTACGACAAGTGCTGCCGCCAACCCAAGCCCAAAAGCCCGAGACGAGGAGGACAGCAGCGCACTTCCCTCGGGGTGGTTCGCACGCAGCCCCCTCCAGATGGCCCACGCAGCCCCAAGCAGCAGCGGAGTCACATCAGGAGGGTGGAATCGACCACACGCCCCAGGGCTACCCCTTCCCCTACTATCCGCGTCGCCGTCACACACGGTGATGTGTCGGGTCACATCGAGGTGATACCGGACACCGGCGCCGATACTACGGTGATTGGGTTGAAGCACCTCCAGAAACTGGGCCTCACCAAACGCGGCCTGGGACCACCGCCGCAGCTGCAGTACTACAATGCGGACGGTTCCCAGATGCCGGACGCTGTGGGCTCCTTTCAGGCAGAGATCACCTACGGCGACAGGTCGTGTTACGGATGGATCGACGTGCGGCCTACTCTCGCTACACCCTTGTTGTCGTGGGAGCACTGCAAGGAGTTAGGCGTGGTGCCCAGAGACTTTCCTGAGCAGATCCCAGCTGCTCGGTACACCGCCAGCAGGGTGCGTGAGTTAACGAGCGACGCGCCTGGCACTGCCACACAGAGCTGCCCAGAACCCGCGTCCACTCCCACCCACACAGGACGCTCCCCTGCCCAGATCCTGTATGGTCACCCTCTCCGCTCTTGCGTTCCTACACACGCCAAGGCCTTTGCGAAGGACTGGCAGACCAAAGCCGAGAGCTGCTACCGCCGCACCGCTACACGTGCCCAGGACGCCAAGGCTCGGTATGACGACCGTGCCCGCCCTCTTCAGCCGCTGGAGATTGGTGCCCTTGTCCGCGTCCAGGACCCGACGACGACACGTCGGCACAAGGTTGGCATAGTGATGGGCGTCGGCCGGTCGCGGGACTACAAGGTCAGGATGCCGAGTGGCCGTGTCTGGTGGAGGAACCGCCGCTTCCTCCGGCCAGTCCCACCCCCTGCTGCTGGCCCCCTGACCGAAGACGAGTCACCTACACCTCACGAGGATCCGCCCCACAGTGCACCTCGACGCTCGGAGCGACTTAGAACTAAGAAGTCCGCTCAAGACAAAGACTATGAGCGTGAGGGGGGAGGGAGATGTAGGTTATGTATCTAAGCTACTGTGCCGAGTAGCAACCCTGTACATAAGCTACTGTGCCGAGTAGCATTTATATATATAATCACGTGGCAACACTGCACGTGTTATGTGGCAACATTGCCCCGAGGCTGCCATATGGCAAGGCAGCCCCAGTCTGACTGTGTGAGCCGTGCATGGCACACACGAGTCACCACTTGTATTTCTCTCATCCACAATAAACGGACTCAGTGTTACTCAGTGTTTCCCTAGCCATCACTGCATTCTTCAGGGCACACTAGTAACCATCAATTACCAGTTTCAGCTTGTGTTGGTGGGGAGGTTTGGCAGAGTCGCCCAACTGTATCATGAATTCCTGACCCCGACTGTACAAGTGTAGGGTGCACACCTGTGTTATGAAGGATATTATTAACCTGAGGACGAAGTAACAGGGGGAGAGACTCACCTGAAGATGATGTAACATAGGGAGAGACTTACCCGAGGACGAGGTAACAGGGAGAGACTCACCCGAAGACGAGGTAACGGAGAGATTCTCCTGAGGATACTGTAACAGAGGGAGAGACTCACCCGAGGACGATGTTACAGGGAGAGACTCACCCGAGGACGAGGGAACAGAGGGAGAGACTCACCTGAACACGAGGTAAAGAGAGACTAACCAGGGGGCGAGGTAACAGAGCAAGACTTACCTGAGGACGATGTAACAGAGGGAGCACCACAGCACAAGGAGGTAGAGGCCGCGACGTAAGGCTCTGGTGGGACATCGCCTCACCGCTCTCTTGGCTACCAGCACCACGGTCATTCCGCCCTCTGCAAGACACACACACAATTACACTCTACGGACACTATATGATAACACTTTACACAAGATAGCATTAAGAAACACTACACACACACATTCACTTACATTTAAATAACACCCAATTAAAAAACTATCACACTCAAGAAACAATCCTTAGACTTAATAAACATCCTTACTGAAGAAGAAATATATTCGGTATGGTATTGTAAAACAAAAATATAATTTAGCTGATAACTTCATGGGCACTGTTGTTATTCCTTCACTTTATTTATCTATTATGTGATAAGCCTTAACGTACTGGTAGCTACTAACACATGAGAAATACAAAAAAGTTTCACCGGAAGATTAGAAACCCTAACTTATTTCACCTCATGATTAATCAACCTAATGCTAACCTAACTTAATCCCTTCCAAGGTAGTGTTAGGGTGTTTAATCATCAGGTAGTGTAATGTAAGTGGGGGGGGGGGGGCAATTATCGGGTAAAATAACCAGGTGGTGTCTAATCCTTATGATCCAAAAAGAGGAAACTACTGTACTCTAACAGTCCTGGGAAGTTCTGGTGTTAACACAGAAACAAATCTGACTCAACCATAGACCGTGTCAGAGTGTGGCCATCAACACACCAGGCCGATGCAATACCTTTATGCTCGCCAAGCCATCAACTTTAGACTATGTATGGCAAGTATCAAGCGGCTAACAAGCCGATCAGTGGCGAAGAGGATAAAAGTAAAAAGAGCAAGTTTTTCACAACAGGCTGCACCAATTGTAAACTATCTATCCATTTTGTGTGAGGCGGTACAGTGTGATTAAGGTCCTCAGCCACACAAATAAACACTTAACCTTTTCTAAGCTGCATTTAAAAGTTCATACGAGATCTTGATTACATATATACACGTAATAACATTTGAAGTACAGTACCAGCTTGTAGGGAAGAGTGTGTCCATCATAGTGGTAGCGGGTGAACCTGGGTCATCGAGTTATGCGTTATATTGTGTACGTTATCAGACCACCAGACACAACACTATCATACCTTACTGTGTCCGCTACCCTTCTCCCTTACATTGACCTGGTGGGGAACATTAAGTTGTAACCCGTGGTCCCAAGTACCCAGTGACAACTGCCCATGAGTCCCATCCACGATAGGAGGCCTGGGACCAGTCAAGTGTCGGACCTTCACACCAGATTGTACACCACTTGAGTGAGTGACGTTACGATACCACGTAGTTAATGAGTTGCTACAACATCATTTGAGGTCCATCATAACACTATCTGTACAGGAGTCATTACACCACATGTGGCCCCTCATAACACCATCTGTGAAAGAGTACTTACACCACATGTTTGCTGTTCAACACCTCAGTGCAAGTGGCCTACACTCTATAGCCATGAAATCACCTCAAACACGACCCACCTAGACAATGCCCCAGATGACGTCAGACACGACCTACGACCTGAGCCAAGACACGACCCCAGAGATCGGAGAGTCAACCCTTGATGACCATCTTGAATATTCACGACCACTTAATACATACAGCAACTTGTTTCCTCTTTGATGGTAACTTTACTTCTCTCTCTCTCCTCTCTCTCTATTTCACACCCAGAGTCCATCCATCCTTCCCTTTTCTCTTACTTCCTCCTCTCCTCTTTCTTCCTTTCCTTTATCCATCCCTATCTTATTCCTTCCTCTCTCTCTCTCTCTCTCCTTCATTATTCCTAAAATTCTTCCCCTCTTTCTCATTCCTCCCTTTTTCTTGGACACACACACACACACACACACACACACACACACACACACACACACACACACACACACACACACACACACACACACACTCTTCCCTCACTTGAAGACGGACGGGGCTAGCAAGCGGGGGTTCTGACTCTCGAGTAAACAGTAATAACCCACCTCATTTATTTATAATGGCGCAGGCAAGCTTACAGGCGCCAAGACAGGAGTGCCGCGCTTCTACACGTATTAATATATAATGCCACAGGAGAGAGAGAGAGGGAGTTATGGCGTCAAGCAGAACTGGCCCCTTCTACAAACAAGACGCTGAATCTAAATTAACATTATTTATGACACGTCGCAGTTCACTGATGCCGTTTCTTCTTCGTCTTCTTCTCATTTAGGTGGGTTCTATTCTTAGGTCATGTATGTCTGTCTGTCTCCTCAAAATAAGTCAAGAACAGAATCAACTAAATGTTGCCACAGTTACAGTTCATGCAATAAAAAAACTGATTTTCGGTGGTTAAAGAAAACTCAGAAATAAGGTCGCAAGCGGTAACTACATTAATATACAGGAAAAAAGTTGCTATTCCGTTATTTATAGCTATATATACAACACCATTTGTAAGCACACTCACCAAAACTACTGTAACGGACTGGTTAAATTACTGTATACTTTGTAGTAAATCATAAGATATTCTGGCCAAAAATAAAAAATAAATAAAATGCAATTAATCAGATCACAATGCAAACTAATACGGCGATATGTTCTTAAATGTACAACTTATTGGCACACATTGGGATCGCCTCGCTGGTCGGTCTGTACTGTACAGGTAAGTTATGGCTCTGTTCCGTTAATTAATAAATATTCCATGAATTTACCATTAAAATTTATTATTTATATTAATGAGCAAACAATTTCAATTTAATTTCACGCCGACTGATAAAATCATAAAAATGTATCACTGGAAATAAAATTTTCCCGCGTCTCAGGTTAATGAGTTGACCAACCAGACGCGGTAATTTTTTAATATGAACACCGAGCACCGTATTGTAGACTAAGAACACCTTCATGAATACAAATCTGGGTGTTGTCAGGACTAAACACCCAGGTCAGTGTTGACAGGACAACAGGCTAGAGTTGTCACGGACGGACGGATGGGCGCGCGCGCACACACACGCGCACACACACGCACACACCCCATATTACTTACAAGGTCTTCTGTACACAGCGTCGCACTCACCTGTACTACACGCACCTCAGGAAGAAAAAACATTGACTCATTAGCAAACAAAAGTGGCTTCAGGGTCGATATAAATACTGCACAATCTTAATAGTAATCTAGCAATATAATCTAACAATTTTGGGGCGTTAAGATAATTTTTAGCTGTTAAGGTTTCTGCAAGCCATTACCAAAAAATACCTGTAGGTAAGTTAATTTATCATTAAGATTGCAACCCACGTCCCTAAATAAACCACGTCATCAAGTTGGCCACGTCCCCTCAAATTAACCACGTCACCAAATACCCATAAATCTGAGTAACCACTCGCCCAGGAAACCACATCACGCTGTACAATGTGGGGAGTCGTGAGGTCATGGGCAGACAGCTAAACCTTGACCAACTCACCTCAAGGTCTGTGACGCCGCCGCCGACATGATTATAACCCCGAGGCAGAAGATGTTTACCCCCCCGAATATACACTCAGAAGTATCGATGACGACAACCCTGGTGAGGACTACCACTCCCTGACCCTGATGACGACACTGTGCTGACAGCCTGCTCCTGACCCTGCTTACTTCCCTGACCCATAATGACGAGGCAAAATGCGTCGAGACACGAAGGATCAACAGAGAGGAACCTTGTGTGTGGGTGAACCCAAGATACATCATATATACTGAGCAAAACAATGACTCCCCCTCCCCAGGTTAGGTTAGGTCAGGTTAGATTTACGTTAGGTTAGGCTATATCAAGTCAATATTAGGTTTGAGTTCGGCTAGCATTCGTGTGGTTAATACTTGAGGTGATCCGGAGGAGAAATAAGCACAACCAGAGACAAAAACCCTGCTGGGGGAGGATGGGGGGGTGGGGTGAAGAGGTACAGAATACCTTGCCGAATGAGGAAGGTTCTGCAGGTATCAATCAACCAGGTAGAAGAGCGAGTACCTGGGTGCTTGTGATGGTCTATACGTGGCTCTGGGGAGAGAGAGAGAGAGAGAGAGAGAGAGAGAGAGAGAGAGAGAGAGAGAGAGGTGTGTGTGTTGTCTCTCGCCCCACCCCCCTACACACAGGTGTTCTCCTTTAATTAACCTCTTGAGTAAGATAATTAGAGGCCGGGCCAACCTCTTGTGCCTCGATATTACCTGGTCACAGTGTGGGCAATTCCTTCTCCTCATCCAACCACTTCCTCTCTTCCACCCCCACACTCTTCTTAGCATCAAACCACACACTCCACCATTACCACCTCCTCGGTACATATCCTAACCTCCAACCCCTCTCTCTCCTCACTTGATTATCACGCACTCTTCCTCACCAATACTCTCCTTACCTTGTTTCTTCCTTCTCCTCCTCCAGACACTCTTCGTACTTGGGAGGACTACCACATTTACAGCCCCCCTCTTCACCATCCCTTTCTACAGCTCCTCTCTGTAACTCCTCTTCAGCAGTCTTCTCCACGACCCCTCTGCACTAATACAAAACACCCACAGTAACAACACCACAACAGCAACATCATCAAACAACAGTACCACAACACCAATACAACAACACCCACACTAACAGCACTACCACAACACCCACACTAACAGCACTACCACAACACCCACACTAACAGCACTACAACAACACCCACACTAACAGCACTACCACAACACCCACACTAACAGCACTACCACAACACCCACACTAACAGCACTACCACAACACCCACACTAACAGCACTACCACAACACCCACACTAACAGCACTACCACAACACACTCACAGTAACAACGACGCATCACGACTACACCAGGACGAAGCAGGATCCCACCTTGACAATGACCGACTGGGAATGCCGGCTGGGTTGTACATCACTCGCTTACCTTAAGAGATCAACTCCCAGTAACCTGTTGTAGGTCTCAAGATGGTGTGGCGCGCCTCTTATGCTGCCTCACCCTCTCCCAAGTTTATTATTACACCTTAAGATTAATTAACCACGAACGCTAACCTAATCTTATTTAACCTAACCTACTCTAACTCTTCATGTAACGTTAGGTGTTTAATTAGCAGGTGAAATAAGCTGGGAGGGGGATAGGCTACTCTCTGTGACTGAAAACTTTCTTGAGGACGGGTTGGAAAAAAAAAACATTTCATAATTAAACCAGAAGAGATAAACCATATAAAAACACCAACCAGTTAATAAAGATGTGTTTCAAGTTAAGTTCTTATGCAATGTTGTATTTACTGTAGGTTAGATCTGGAGAAATAAAATTTAAATTTAGTTACCGGACTTGTATTTTGAGGCATTTTTTTTTTACAGATATAAACTTAATAAATCGCCGCCGATACAGATATTCTTATAATTTTACTTCACTACGAAATTTTGTCTTAATCAAAAATAATTTCTTATTTATTTTCGTGTCTCGATTGTTATTTATAGTCACTGATTTGCTATTATGAAGACCGAACAAAAGTTAAAAATGTATGTGCTGTAAAAATATTCATCTATGACACTTTGATGTGACAATCCTGCTTGGAGACGAAAAAGTGAATTGAAAAACATACAGACAAACAAACATGCACAAACAGGAAGAAGATATTACGGAATCAATAAAGGAGTTATAGATAAAGCTCTTATAATATCCGAGCAGGATAGGACTCGAAGCAACGGATTTAAGTTGGATAAGTTTAGGTTGAGGAGGGAGATAGGAAGGAACTGGCTCACGAGAAAATCACAAGCTTAGCAACTTCGTATTAAGTGCTGGAACGCTGGAAAGTCTTAAAAGACGGCTAGATAGATTCATGGATGATAGAGAGTGGTAGTAACTCTAGACAGGAGCTGCCATGCACAGGCCAACCGGCCTATCGCAGACTCCTTATTTTCTTATGTTCTTATGTTGAAGGTGACACAGCCTAAAACTGCAAAATAAATCTAAGGGGAGAGAAGCCACGTCACTATGAAGGAGGAGAGATGGGAGGGGGAGTTAGAGAGATACTGCTGCCGTGGAAATGGTCGGCGTGAGGAAGATGTCCTTGAGAGAGAGAGAAGGAGGCAGACAGGCAAGGTCAGATGAGGTAAGCCATCTTACGTCATCAATGATCAGCCTTACCCCACCTAAAGTCCTACCCCTCCCCTCCCTCCTCACCCCGGAAACCCCTACCTTTACGCGTCATTACCCCCCCCCCTCCCCCACCCTTGGACCCCATCAGGAGTATCACGTCATCTCAACCTTCACCCAGCCCCTCCACACCCCGCCACGTCCCTGTTTGTGCTGTCTCCCGATATCACTGCTGCTGCTGCTGCTGGTGGCGACGGGTCCATGCATCTCCTTCATAACCACAACACACAAAAAATCTTGCTCTACCAATACAGAATAAAATAAAATACTCCTAACTACAAATAACATTCCTGTTACAAAGTTTGGATCCCATGTATACTAATAACATCATTATCGACTCCTCTAGGGTAATAACGTGATGGGAATCGTCTATCACACACACATATCCAGCCTATAACTACACAAAATACGTACGTAAACACCTAAAACAACCCATTAATCCAATCATATACACTTAAGACCCCGAATCAACTTACAGCACATAATATTAATCAGAAACACAAAGTACAGTACAACACAATGGTAATCCCCTCACGAGCTTGACCACACAGTAGCTATAGCACATAAATCACTCTAGAAATAATTCCTTACAGAAGTTATTGTACTCCAGAGGTTAAAAGTTAGTACACAAGTGGTCATCGTCGTCTACTCAATGGGGTAAACAAGACCAGAGCATCACTCTTCTATAGATCAACTTGTTTATTTACTTAATTCAACAGGATGTTATATATATATACATTTCCCAAGTGTCTGAAGGCAAAGGTAGAGTAACCAATAATAATAAGTTTAAACACTGACCTAATATTGTCCGACTCTAAAATCAGCATCACCTCGAAACTCAAATTTTTTCTCCATTAATTACAGCTTCAGTTACACAGGTGTACCAGACAACTCAACACCCAGGTACTAAACATTAATTAATCACCCATAACTTTCAGAGAATCGTTTGCATACGAAAGTGTTGGGAAGTGAACTGATACTTTAGCAGCAGATTTTACGTTTCTTTCACTGGATAAGGTCTTTCGGTTCCATGATTCACAACATGGAAAGGACACAGTCTTCTGCTAAGTAACGTAGACAGTCACTACGAAATATCTTCACAGTCGTCGTGTGAATCCGTGACGCCGCGACCTACAGTGACTATTATCGAAGGGTCAAAGGAGAAGGTGATGCTAAATCAATCCCTGTAAGGTAACTCGCCCACGTCTTGAACAACAGGAAGTCTATCAAGGCAGGTAAAGAGTGTGTGATGACCATAACACCCCCCCCCTCCTCCCACCCCTTATCGGTCAAACACTGATCAAGAGGTTAAAAAAAAAGAGTTCAATATTATAATCGCTGTTTAACACGAAAATATTGAAAGAAACTCAGAGAAAACGAGTTATGTTTGATGGTGTGTGTGTGTGTTCGTTTTTCTTGTCACTATTTCAAAAGTGTTTAACATGCCAAATATATCTTGTGAAAAAAAAAAACCTCGGCGCCAGTGTCCGAGATAAAACTGATAAAAAGTGATAACTAGAATCGCAATTGAAAATACCACACTCATTTTTTACGTCAATTCGGCACAAAATAGAAATTATAAAACAGAGAGAGAGAGAGAGAGAGAGAGAGAGAGAGAGAGAGAGAGAGACTGATTAAAATAAGTAGTTATCTTTGTTATATTCTGGCGGATGACGACGACACCTAATAATGCGCGCGCAATTCTCGGTAGATGGCAACCCTGTGTTGACGTGTTACCTCAGTGCACAACGCACGCTAAGAGATCACCCTGAAATTGGTTTAATAGTTTCATTCACCCTCTTCCTATTCGAATATTAAAAATAATCTAAAGAGAGTATGGAGGAACAAAGAAAATGTAATAAGAGAAATATAGAAAGAATAATTAAATAGGAACAAGCTGCCAGTCCTCGCGTTAGTGTCATCTACGGCATCTACCAGATAGCTTCTTCAACAAAGAGCAAACCAACTCGGATTAACTGATGAATCACCCCTTTCCTCACCACCTTATTTTACCTTAAGATTAACCACCCTAACCTAACGTTAACCTAAACTAACGTGACGTTAAACTAATCTAACGCTAACTTAACCTAACTAATCAATGGTTACACACACACACACACACACACACACACACGCCTACCTTTACTACACAATATCCTGAAAATCTACCCTTCACACTTAATAATAAAAAAAGAGTGTGTCAGCTAATTTCACAACACCTTACAACAATATCTTAAAATTCTGGTGGAAGTCAGCAATGTTTAACGCTAGCGGCTATTTTGAGCACTTGCCAACACCACCAAGTTCAAGTTCAACACACACGGGAGAGACCTTGAACACCCCCCCAGCCACAGGTATAATCTTCAATATAAATACTGTGGAGGTAATAACTGAAGATGCGTTTTATTGTTTACCACACTGTTGACATCTCTAGCCTGAGGTATACGTGAGGATATATACATACATACATAATAATTCATGTATATCTTTTCCGAGGTCACCAGACATTAAATTTAACGGATAACCTGAAGATTAATTACTCTAATGATAAAATCTAACAACGAAACTAATTAACTCAACGACCTCACATGTGCCATATTGATATACGTATGAAGGCGAACACAAAGGCAACACGAATATAAAAACGAACGAAAAAAAATCGCCAATATATCCCCACCAAAATATTTTCCGTCAATATATCCCCGTTAAAATATCCTTGCCAAAATATTATCGTCAAAATAGCCCCTAACTAAATATTACCGCCTGAGCCTGCCGAGTCAATTATATTGTGATCTGGAAATACTTTTAACTTTTAAGTGTTATTGAAAGGGAACTTTTCGTAGGGACGGACGAACACACGGACAGGGGAAGTCCATAAGCCGCCTCCATTTCCTCCACTTTGCTGCGTCATCATCGAGAACAGAGAAAAAGAGTGTGTGTTTGTGGTCATTATACACTAACCTAACCTAACCTAACCTGGCCTAATCTCACGAGAACCATCCTCAGTTCCTCACATGTCTATTCACAGACCAGAGGCGCTTGTTGACCCCCTAACGCATAACCTCAATCGTTCGACCTTTTGACCCAGAATACATCTCGGCTACGATACACCAAGGTCGTAGTGCTGACAGTCAATGCCCGGGTATCTGGTGGGAAGTAGCTAAATATGATACTGTGAGACTGTGTTTAATATTTCTCATAATAACAGACACGTAAAGAGCGTGCTGTCGGTCAAAGCTGTGTTCGGGATAAGTAAATGAGATCACCTAAAGATTAGACACCCAGGCTTATTTTTATCTGATGATTAATCACTCTAACGTTAACCTAACCCAAAATAACCTCATATAGCGTTTGGGAGTTTAAATCATGTAATATAAGTTACGGTGTCTAATCCTCAGGTAAGTTAATCAATGATTATAACAAACATCACCACTACACGATGGTCCACACACAGACTTGTTATTCGTTTCTTATTCGTGTTAGTCTTGTGCTTGAACCGAAAACAACAGGACAATTATTATTATTAGCTGGGCTGCCATATCAATAGACATCAACGTTTCGCTTGCTGTATGTCCTATATTTTTTTTTATATAACAAATAATACTAGTCTTGTTTTCTGCGTTAATTTACTGCATTACTTACTTGGAAGTGTAGCAGTAACAATCCCTGGTGAGGTGTTAGGCTGGCGAGGTGTTAGCTGTCACATGGAGGGAGACCTTCACACACACAGATGGTGGTGGTGGAGTGTTGACGAAGACCCCTGGGTTACCACCATCATGTCCTGCCAATGTCATGTTTTTTTCCTCCTCATAACTACCATTTCAGTCTTTACACCACCATACAGTTCCTCACAACCTAACCTTCTGTATCTTCTTTTTCCAGTAACTCTTAACATTTAGGCTACAAGACCATCATCATTATAGTGGGAGGTACACTATACACGACCACCCACTCGCCCGCCCGTATACCCGTCGATCCCCCAGTACAGTAGAAATCTGCGCTGACCTCGTCCGGTCCACCAAACCCCGCGCTTGTTGTCACCAGTACAGTAGTCCACTATTCACACACTGGCGCGTTCTTCCACCGGTGTAAAAATCCAGACAGTTACAGTCTTCACGGTACCCAATATATAAGATGATAATGACAAACAAGGAAGATGCTGGGGTAGATGTGGAGTACTGTTTTAAAAGTGTGTCAACGACGACCATAGCTGACTGACTGACTGACTACGCCGGATTTGATTCTCTAGTACATTACACCATGGCCTTATCGTGTACGTTAAGTTTAAAGACAGCGTTCCTGCCTGTTTTTATAATGTAATCAAGTAACACTAAGGTCAGTTTAATGAATATAAAATTTGTTTTTACTCATCAATCACTCGTGCGTTTTACTATTGGTCGTCTGGCAACTGGCATTGAACGGTACAGATTTAAGGTTTGAATGAGAAGCTAAACTAAGGAAGCGACGTGTGTTGTCATGTGGACTGTGGTGCTGCTCCACTCCGTCACGAGACATCCTGCCTGTGGTGGTGCCCGCAGCCTACACTTGACACACATATCATGGTGATGGACTAGAGGCATTGGCCGACAGATGGGCAAGGAAACCTGCGTTGGATACATTTTTCTTTCAAATTATTCATAAAAATAAAACTTCCATTTTTCGGGGAAGTGAGAGGGGAGTGGTTCACCTATTGACGCAGATAATAATAATAATAATTAAAAACATGAAAAATTATGCTTGTTAACAATTGGTCTTAGGGTAATAAAACTACGACACCTATCACAGTCGTCACTCCCAGGTCCCAGCACGTGAGGGTTCAGTAGTCTGTTGTAGGGAAGAGCACAGGGTGGTGATGAACACAGCACACGACGGTAATCCTGAACAGCCTCTACACTCAACTGACAACACCTCCACACTTGCATTAACACCGCTAAAGACACAACCCCTACACTCACGCACACCACATGTAAGTTCACTCGCCGTACACTTGCACTCACAAATACACAACTGTTACACGCCGGACTCATCTCCTCCCTTATACAATAACGGCCACACTGTCGCTCCTCGTACGTCCTCCTAAGCGTGGCAGTGTCAGGCCTCACCACCGTTGGTTCTGTCGCCTCCTGACGCGGTAGTTGACGTGTGTGTGTGTGTCTCACGCCGCACGCGGGACCCAACAAAGTGGGTTACCGCAGACATTACCGTCTACCGTCAGTGGAGATGCGACGGCTGTGAACTTCCCCCTCCCCCCCCCCACACACCAGCCTCACCTCTCCATTCCCTCTTTCCTTACCCCCGTCTACGTCTCTTTCTTACCTCCCGGGGCTTAGTCTTCAGGGTTGCTCGTGGTAACTTCAGCACGCACAAGGAAGACGAATCCCCCACACTCAAGGATCCACCTGAGTGTTCACAAACCTTGTATACAACTGTTGCATCTACCCAAGACTACTTTGGCTTCTCCTTCCTTCCTTCCTTCCTTCCTTCGCTCGCCCCCTTCTCCCCTTACTTTCTTCGTTCTTTTCTCCCCACATTCCTTCCTTCCTTCCTCTCTTACTTCCTTCCTTCCCTACCTACCTCTCTCCTTCCTTACCCCTCTCCAGGTCTTTTGTTGATCTCCCTTCACCATTGTACTCCAAGGACACGAATCTCAAATGGTCATTCTCAGCGGTTAACTTGTCCTCGTGACTGAAGACGTATGGCAAGAGCAAGTCAGTCAGTCAAAAGTCAATCGATCACCCAGTCAATAATCAAGGGTCAAGAGTTAAATGAGACAGCCAGTCGATTCAGTCATTCAAGTTAAGTCATTGAGTCAGTAAATCAGTCTCTTGGGCTTACTCACACTAAAAAGGTCACAGGAGAGGGAAGCTGATGTACTGTACTTGTGGTTCACCGCGGCCTTGTACAGCACTAAGTCGTCCCACCCCCACCCCCCAGTTGTAACCACACCCCCACATCCTAGCTATAACTACACCCCCACCCCCCCCAGCTGTAACCACACCCCCACATCCTAGCTATAACCACACCCCCACACCCTAGCTACAACTACACCCCCACACCCTATAGCTGCACCTCCCCATCAACACGGTTTCTTCGTCCCTCCAATTACCTTCATCAACCTGTTCGTATTGACACATTAGCTTTACATCTTAGAAGACTTAATGTAAGGAAAAACATCACTGACCAGTTTGCTATAGAAGAACTAAACCTATCCACCCACAAGTAGACGCCGCCACAAACGCCTAAAAAAATAATGTGAAGGGCTTATTGGCGGTAACTGTACATGACAACAACAATGACCCACGCGTCACCTCACAGGGCAAAGTCTAGTTATAATTTAATGATCTTCTACTGGAATTGTATAATTTATGGTTTTGTTCACTATTCATGGTCGAAGTGCCTTACTGTTTACTCTTGTTATATACCTGTATTGTCTAGGTATACCCTGGATACTGTAAATATACCTCCACGGTCTATGTTTATGTACGTACCTCTGTTGTCTATATACATGCTGAACTGTACACACACACACACATATATATATCTACCAGACGAGTTTTTTTACAACAGTGGCTTAACAGAAAACTGATCGACAGTCTGACCTGATAATAAGCTATTAGGCTAAATGATTGCCAAGCTACTAGTAACGTGAGTGAACAACAGTCTGATCTACTAGTAAGCTGACCGACCAACCACCCGACCTACTAGTAAACTGACCGACCAACCGCCCGACCTACTAGTAAGCTGACAGATGGCAAAGATGATAAACTAAAGCATATAAACATGAAGCCTAACTACCGTGACAAGACCACACAACCACAACCTGAATACCTCCCTTCCACCCCACTCTCACCCCACCCCACCCAACTCTCACCCCACTCCCAAACGCAGCAAACTCAACACGAAGAACGAGAAAAAGAAAACGACCCGAGATATCGACAGGGGGGTGACTATTTATTTTTCACTTTTAATACTAATAAAACTGATATAATTGATTAAACTATAGATGTATTAACGTTAACGTGGCAATGGATACTTGTGCAGCATGTAAGTGACTCAATGACACCTGTACCAAAATTTTCATGTAAGAAACCAAACAAAGATGAAATTCACGAGTAAATAAATAAATAAAAATAAATGAAAAATAAAAAAACAGCAAAATCCATTTTCTATCCATTGTATGATTCAAGTCGGAGTTCAGGAGAAAAAATAAATCAAAAGCAATTTGGCGAAAGAATCACTGTTTTCCATTGACGTTCATACTTACACCTCTCTTGCACTCAACTGTATGAACTACAAGACAATAAAGAAGGGAAATATTTTATGTATTTTCCGCTTAACTAAATTCTTAGGCTCACCTGAAGCTTACTCGTTCCCTCCATGGTTAATTTTCTTCTAATGATTATAATACAACACCCTAAGGCAGTGGTGTCAAACTCAAAACCTTTCGAGGGCCAATTCTTTTTTTAGTTACCCTCTTCAGGGCCAACACAAGTGCTACATCACATATTTGCAGGATTGAAGTTTACAGCTTCACACATTGCCTTACCTGACTTACCAGGAATACCTTATTTGGGTTTGTCTGATCTTAAGTATGTAAGATTCATTTTACTAAATAAACATGATTATATGTATTTTTGTTTTCATAATTTCACGGGATGACAACTTTTACCGTCATCCCGCGGGCCACACTTGACCATCCCAGGGGCCACACTTGGCCCGCAGGCCATTAGTTTGACACCCCTGCTCTAATGGTACCTGGGGATGGGGGAAGAAGAAAAAAATTAAGGAAAGAAAAGGAAGAAAAGGGATAAAAATGAAGATGATACAAAAGAAGGAAGGAAGGAAGGAAGGAAAAGCAGTTCAGGTGGGGTCAACTATCACCACCAATACGTTATGTTATCTTCACCTCAACATAAAATTCAGCGTTACCAGTGACATACATACATACATACATACATACATACTGATGCACATTATACACGCCGTGATAAGGTTGACGATGCATACGTGATGATGAAGTACTTGTAACGCGGTATACTATGTGTATTGAGACGACGTTGATGATGTATTATGATACGTATACAGTGCAAGGAGGAGGAGGAGGCCATATGTGTGTGTGTAGGAGAGACTGTAGTAGGTCACCAGTTCGTCCTCTGAGTAACGGTGGTTGATGCTTCTGGTGGTGGGGATGCCCTGCCCACGGTCAAGGCCACCCCAACACACACACACACACCCTCCCCCCGTCACCTCATGCAGTAGCTATTTCAAGACGACCCATAGAAATTGTATATATAAATCCTTATTTTTTTTTATCCCCTTGGTTAAACACAGTCAAGGAACACCTATAACCAGTGGACCAAACACAGGGTAGAACTTTAGCCAGTGGATAAAACAACACAGCAGGATATAACAGACAAGAGTACAACTTTGCGAGATTGCGGTAGACTAAATCAATCAACATCACGACAAAATTTTGTATATGTGTTTTGTGTCAAGTCATCAAGTCGCTTCTGCCTCAGGTATGTTCAGGTGAGCTACGTCGCCCGTCCGCCAGCCGTTCTACGCGTCATCCACGCGCGCCCGCCCGTCACGACACACACACACACACACACACACACGTGGGATTAATTGCCCGTGACTTCTCCAGCCAGCATGAAATGTGCACAGGTTGAGTATGTATTCTGATGTCACTATTAAAAAGGAAAAACACGTGTAGTAAATGATATGAAGTTATATACTGTAGAAAACGGGAAATTACATGCTATAAAAAATGGGAAATTAAATGCTAAGAAAACAGGAAATTACATACTATAGAAAACAGGAAATTACACGCTATGGAAACGATAAATTACACGCTATGGAAACGATAAATTACACGCTATGGAAACGGAAAATTACATGCTGTCTGGAAAATGAGGAGGAAAAAGGCGTAAAGGGAAGGTCGTCATCTGCGTCAAACCACACAGTCCTCAGCCACTGGTTATAGGGAGAACTACTGCAGGTATAGAGCTCATACACGTCACATGGTCGACGCCACCAACTAAACCTCCGGGGTAATAATTCTTGTGAGTTCTGGCTACACATAGTCTCATACGCTACCAAGACGCGGACGACGGTAATGATGCGCGTCCATCAATCAAGAAGAAGGAAGAAAGAAAGGTGGCGATTACCAGTTTTCAGATGAGACACTTCCTCTAACAATGTGAATCACCTGAAACAATTACTTCCCACACAAGCTTATTTCACCTGAACATTAACCACCCTAACCTAAACTAACCTAACACTAACCTAAACCTAAGCTAACATTAACCTAACTTAGCAGCTCCAGGTAATATTTGGATGTTTTAATCATTAGGTAACATAACCTGGGGTGGAAACTAGTCTCTTGGGTGATTTAACTTCTATAAGGAAGGTGAATATTTCAGTCTTCTTCTTCTTCTTCTTCTTCTTATTAGTATTATTATGATTATTATAATTATTATTATTATTATTACAGCTTTCATTTATGTTAGGTTATTTCTCCATGGGTTAACAACTTTAATATGTAATGGAGAAGCATTTTAAGAGGGAGAGGTGAGGGGGAGTGTTGGAGGTCAGGGCTGGTGTCCGTTATGTAGGGGTGGAACGTTGGGTCGAGAGAGAGATGGGTGGGGAGGTCAGATGAGTGTTGTGACAGCAGGTACCTCCAGGTTGGCCCTCTTCAACCCCCGCGCCTGGTCCGGACGAACACGGATATGAAAGTTGCCTCAACTCATCCTTTATGGCCACTACATTTGTCACATCCACACCCCTGACCATCCACACCCCAGATCATCCACACCCCAGATCATCCACACCCCTGACCATCCACACCCCTGACCATCCACCAGGTATTTCACCCATCCACGTATTCATATAAAGAACAATACAACATTTATCAGTTTACTTTCGTATATTCTTCATAACTTCTACTAATTATCCACATGTATGTCATTATGATTTCGTTTATAACATTAAATCAGCCAATCTGAACCCATATGAATTTAAAAACGATGCTGACACAAGCTATACAATAACACTCTCCAGGAAGCATGACAGAC